TGAAGGTATGCATTACTAAAAAAAAATTATTTGATGTCAAACATAATGCAAGGTGGTGGTGGCCACAAAAAGTCTGGTGGGAAGCCATGCCTCTCCGTCTTACCTTCCCACAAGCCTTTTCATGGCCACCACTGCCTCTCCGGTCTCTGTCCCCAACTGGGATCTCTCACTTCACAGTGCAGACAGGTTTAGGTATGCGATTCTAATGTGCCATTGAATCTAATGCACATCTCAATTTTAGTGATGTAATTTAACCAAAAAAGGTGAGTGTTAGACTTGAGTAAATATGAATAATTCTTTTGCCTGTCTCATTTTGGGCAGCCAAGTTGTGCCTTTTCTAATTGAACTGTCTGCATACAAGCTTATATTTTCTTTCTTGCAAGATAAAACGTAGCCTCTTGTAGTAGGGCATGTTAAATTCTGAACGTTCACAGTGTTCAGCTTCACATAATTTACCTCAAAGTTCAGTGTGCTCAGGTAACACAAATAGCTGTTTGGGAGATTCTCTCAGTTACGAACAGCAGTTTCAGGTAGTGTTTGTGAAAGTTGACTTGTGTTTGACATCCCACATGAAAAGGAGAAGTACAGGATGGACTCTAGGTCATGCCATATAATTATATGAATCAATCTGTTTTAAATAGTAATGCTGCTAGCAATATAACACTCTTCTCCCAATTTTTCCATCCTTCTGATAATATCTCATCAAATAAGCCTCAGAGAATGGTGGGGCAGAGATTGGCCTTTGTGAGAAAAGGACCTTAGAGATCTAAAGGGAGATAGGGTCCTTCAAATAAGCTGGATCTAAGCCATATACGTCTTTCTAGGTTAAAACCAACACTTTGACTTGTGTCCAGAAATGGAACTTCAAATTAATGAAAAAAAAAATTGAATCCACCCTCTCATCCTCAGAGGAAAGCAAAGTCAAATGTCCTCTGAACAAACAGATCTTGCCAAGAATACCTCACTTTAGGGTTGCTATAAGTCAGGAACCTCTTGAAGGCATGCAACAATCAAAATCATGCCTTAACAAATGCCAGATATCTATCTCTATGGGTATTGCAAATGATAAGGCACTCTTCTCTGGCTGTAGAGACTGAATGAGCAGTTACATGATCTTGTGATGATTAGTACATATTTGCAAGATTTCATGGCTTTTGGGCTTCCTGAGAGATCTGAAATCTCATGGGAGCCATTAAGACCTTCTTTTCCAAGATTTCAAGCAGACTTCTATAGACTTTCCTAACATGCCCCAGTCCATCTTAAGTTGGCCAGGCAACCAGAAGGAGTCAACTGCATATTGTTCTGTAGAAAACCTGGCAACCTGATAATAAACGAAAGAATTTTGTTGTCAGTGTTTTGATTTTGACATTCCCATGGACCAATGTAGATGAAATCAGATCAGATTCCAGGTGAGGAAATAGTTTTGAGACAAAAAATTAAAATGTAATATTAGCATGTTAGAAATTTTAGGAATCTCAAGCTGGGTATTATTTAACAGGTTTTTCGAATATGTAACATGTAATTTCAGAATTAAAAGACTTTTTGGCCTAGGATGAGGAATTATAATATGATAAATGTCTATACTGCCCTCCTTCATAAAATTATGTTTGGGCCTTAATTTTGTAACGGCTGCAGGCACAGCTGTACAGAAAACCATCCTCTTTTCTTATTGTTAGTTTTTTAATACTGCAACTAGAAAATGTTATTTGATGCATAGCCTGGTATTATCACACCAAAGCAATCTGACTGAAATGTATACCGTGTTCAGCAATGAATTAGTCTAATACTCTGATATTTAATTTAGAAGAAATGGGATGCTGAAATTATGTTCAGATCCTATGTTTTGTCAAGATTCTTGTGGGAGCATTTGGTTCTTGTGGGAATACTAGGGGAAAATATCAGAATGCCTTGTTTAAATGAAAAAGATCAAAGGATGATAATACTGAATTGTATGTTTCAGTAGGCCTATATGTATTTAGTTTATCAGCTTTGAGAAAAAGTTAATTTTATTATCAATAAGACATAATTTAGAGCCCCCTGTGGTGCAGCGGGTTATACTGCTGAGCTGCTGAACTTGCTGACCGAAAGGTTGATGGATCAAATTAAGAGAACAGGATGAGCTTCCAATGTTAGCCCCAGCTTCTGCCAACCTAGCAGTTTGAAAACATGCAAATGTGAGTAGATTAATACATACCACTTCAGCGGGAAGGTAACAGCACTCCATGCAGTCATGCTGGCCACATGATCTTGGAGGCATCTATGGACAATGTTGGCTCTTTGGCTTAAAAGTGGAGATGAGCACCACCCCGCAGAGTCAGACACTAAATGTCAAGGGGAAACCTTTACCTTTACCTAAGACATAATGTGTCAAAACAAATGCTGACTCTGGGAATATGGATAGAAACATGCCCATTTTGATTCAGCTCTGTTACTCCTCATGAATATTTTTATCTGTACTTTCTCAGATGTTCACAGAAATGTATGCATTTCTCCTAAAATTTAAATGTGTTTTTGTAAGTTATTTCCTATTATTTGTTGCATTGTTACTTATAATTTTGCATCAATATATACATTTTTGTGTGTGCTTTCTTCTAATACAGAACTGTTGTATGCACTTTTGGTGATAGGATTCTGACAAAATATTTGAAGTAACCAAAATTTTGTAGTATGGTGCATTTTTGTTTGTTTATTGGTTCAAGAGGTGCAAATTGGCTAAATTTAGAAGAGAATTTAACCTGAAGGAATATCTTCCTCATCCCTCTTTCCTCATAGAAAATCCTATAGTAAAATCAGTGTGGACAATATAGCAAATTTCTGGTTTCATGTTTAAATTTCCACTCTGGTCTGTGTAAAATTTATTGTACACCATCCTGGAACCTGTGGGAATAAAGAAAATATTATACATTTTGATAAATAATTCAAGTGATAAAAACACCAAGTTTGCCTGGTTACAAAGGTGTTTATCAGTAAAAAGGAATTTCCCCGCTATGACCCTTAGCTTAATTACTTCAAAATATTTCTGCAGATGAAGAATAGGTGTTATTTCTATTTTTGAATGACATTTCACTAAGGGCCCTTCCACACAGCCATATAACCCAGGATATCAAGGCAGAAAGTCCCACAATATCTGCTTTGAACTGGGTTATCTGAGTCCACACTGCCATATATTACAGTTCAGATAATGTGGGTTTTTATTCAGCTGTGTGGAAGGAGCCAAAGCTTTCAGGTGGCTGAAGCAGATAATAGTGGGCTACAAAGAGGTGTCCTGCAAGGGTCAAACATGTTTCCTTGTTCCTGTTTGAGCTCTTAAAACCGTCAAGTCAATAAGCTGACTGATGGCCTGGAATTGGCATCCTGTGTTTTTAGAGTAAGCATCGCTGGCTGTTTATCTCAGCAGTGTTTACACTGGCAGTTGCAAACTTAAAGGAGAGCAATTACATCTTTTCTAAATCTTCTTCAAGGCCTGTGAACTTTGTATTATTTGTCAAAATCTAATCTCATTTGTCAAAGAAGAACTTTGGTCATCATGAAAAGATTGACATTTTAGTGTCAGAAACTAAACAAACTATTGCTGTTTCTCACCAAGACATCAAATTTACACCTTTTTTGACTAAAAAAAGAGCTGTCATTTTTAGACATTGGGGTATGTGACATTCCATATATATCCATATGATGTAAAATGCTGCTTTCATGAAAAATGGCACCATTGTGATATAAGTCACTGTGTGTTATATATCAATATTAGTCGTTTGCGCATGTATATTATACCACATGCCTCTGGTACCTGGCAATTGTGATTATTCATTTACAAATTATGTAAATTTGGTACTTTTATGAGGAAAAGCATGAATGTTGTGAAAGATTTGTCTATGTTGCTGCACTGTAGTAGTCTTAAGCTGGTTCTACACTGCCATATAATGCAGTTCAAAGCAGATAATCATGATTTTATATGGCAGTGTAGATCCAGTCACAGAGAACTATAGCACCAAGCATCAAAAGTTAAGGATGTTCACCATAACTGTTCAGGAAATTCTACTACGTGGAAGCTGGCCAGGAATGGGACTCCGTTGCTCTCCAGATGTCTTGGACTTCAATTCCTTCTTTCCCAACAAGTATGACCAGCAAAAAAGAATTACAAGAGTAATAGTCCAAAACATCTGGAGAGACCCAAAAGTGTCCTCATTCCTGTTCAAGAGCTGAGGAGAAGTGACCCTCCTTAACTAAACCGCCTTGAGTCCCCTCCAGGGCAAGAAAGGTGGGGTAGAAATGTTGTAAATAAATAAATATTTCAGCAGTTATGTTCTTGAACAATGGTTCCCAATCTTTGGGCTTCAACTCCCAGAAATCCCAGCCAACTTACCAACTGTTAGGAATTGTGGGAGCTGAAGTCCAAAGCACCTGGAGGACCAAAGGTTGGGAACCACTGTTGTAGAAGATAATAAGCTTTTCCAGATATTCCCATCATCTGACATAATGCGTTCCCCTATTCGCAACAGGACTCTTTTTATGAGAGGATGGAAACTGTTCTTCTTTTGCTCTTGAAAAAGTATTTTCATCCTGTTTCGATGTTGATTGTTGGTGGGACGCTAGGACAACCCGACATCTGTTTTGGTTTTGTTTCATTTTAACTTTTCCATATGCTCTGACTGGTTCCTATTCAGATTTTCCCTGCAAGGATGAATAAAAGAATGTGTAAAAATATATTAGGTATAGCTAAATCTATACCTAATATATCTTTATGCTTAAGGAAGGGCGAAGCGCTTGAAGGATGAATGGGAGAATATGGGAAAGTTTTATCTCTTCTCTATATTCAGTGCAACAACTTTTGGGGGTACAGAATGTAGACCAGATGTCTTTACCAACCGTTTATTTTATGTTCACAAAATTGCTGTTTTTCTTTTATAAGGTACATGTTCACTCTTTCATAATTTTACATTTTTAAAACATTGGTTTAATAATGTGATATATGTATATATACACACACATTTTCTCTCTTTCAGATTACAGAACTTTGTGGTGCTAAACGTGTCGGTTATTTTGGTCGAACTCAGTTTTATATTGCTTTGAAGTTAATCGCTGCTGCACAATCTGGTCTACCAATACGAATAGAAAGCATTCAGAATGGTAATCCACAAGATGAAACTAATTTAATTTCTGGAATTTATTGTATTTTTATTTATTTTGATTTATACCCTACCTTTCTCCTAAACCGAAATTCAAGGTGGCATTATATTTAATTGCATTTAATTATTTTTAAATGTTATAAAGCCTAAAGTGGAAAACTCTGCAGGAGATTTCCAGAAATGTACTATAAGTAACTTTACAATACAATACATGATATAATTTAATTTTATAGAACCATAAACTTCGAAAACAACAGCACTTACATAAAAAGTAGGAACAAATCTATTGAGATTTCATTTATCAGCCAATAAATAAATATAACTAGAACCATTGTAAAAATGTAACAACCCAGTAGAATCTGTATAAGAAGATCCAATAGAAAACAAGTCTTTATGGACTTTTTAAAGATTTGCAATCATGTTCTCAGAGCCTGGAAGGTTGTATTTAAAAAGGAATTGTTAACTTCATTTCAGTTTAGCCTATTACTCAGCTTTCTGTTTGCTTGTACATGACTTTTTGCATTGCTTATCACATTTCCATTACTTTTATCTTTCATTATTTTTCAAATAAAGTAAGAAACTTATTTAAATTGAGATGGGGAAGTGAATCATCTTAAAATGGCTCTAAAGTATTCTCCCATCCCCAAGTAATATGTAATTGTTATTTGTTACATGGGAGAGGTTGGGGGGGGGGGGATTAGCAACATTACTCATTGTTACATTATGTCCTGAAATTATTATTACTTTGTGCTGCTGTTACAGAAGTAAAGAGCAATGTTATTACATGTAATGTGTTACTTTCAAGCTGTGGAGATACCCAGAAATACTAATTTACTACTATCTTGATATTAATACTAATATCTTAGTATTAGGATACTTATACTAAGATATTATGTGCATATAAGCCAGGCATGGGCAAACTTCAGCCCTCCAGGTTTTTTGGACTTTAACTTCCACAATTCTTAACAGCCTACCGGCTGTTAGAAATTGTGGGAGTTGAACTCCAAAACACCTGGAGGGCCGAAATTTGCCCGTGCCTGATAAAAGCAAACATGTATATGAGGATATTGTTTAATAATAATTTTATTATCCACTAATATTTCTTTAAACATTAATAAAAATGGAATATACTGGTAAGTTTTTATGTGGTACTATGGGAAACATATTTTAGTGTACTATTGTTTCATTAAAAGTTCTGTTTCTGTTTTTTCTTACTTAAGAATTGCCTTTGCCTCGATTTATGGCACTGAAAACGGATAGTGAAACAAGGTACAGTCATCCGACAGAAGCCCCAGGAACTAAATTTCAGATTCCTCATGCAACACTTGAAAAAAACTGCTTCAGAAGGTTGGACGAAGGAGAGAAGCAGGTAGAGACTCAGTACAGGAATTATACCATAAAACAAATCTGATTTGTTATGGCCCTCTTTGCATTTGGAACAAACAAACAAACAAATAAATATGTTGTCGAAGGCTTTCATGGCTGAAATCACTGGGTTGCTGTGAGTTTTCTGAGCTGTTTGGCCATGTTCTAGAAGCATTCTCTCCTGATGTTTCACCTGCATCTATGACAGGCATCCTCAGAGATTGTGAGGTCAGTTCAAAACTAGGCAAATGAGGCTTATATATCTATAAAATGTCCAGGGTGGGAGAAAGAACTCTTGCCTGTTGTTGGAGGCAAGTATGAATGTTGGCCACCTTAATTAGCATTGAATGGCCTTGCAGCTATAAAGTTTAGCTGCTTCCTGCCAGGGGAGATTCTTTGTTGGGAGGTGTTAGTTGGCCCTGATAGTTTCTTTTCTAGAATTCCCCAGTTTTTTTAGTGTTGTTCTTTATTTACTGTCCAGATTTTGGAATCTTTAATACTGGTAGCCATTGTTCCATGTTCATGGTTTATTCCTTTCTGTTGAAATTGTCCACATGCTTGTGGATTTCAGTGGCTTCTCTGTGTAGTCTGATATGGTGGCTGTTAGAGTGGTCCAGCATTTCTGTATTCGGAAATAATGGGCACAGCATATTATTTGGGAACACAGAAATTCTGGACCACCCTAACAACTATCATGTCACACTACACAGAGAAGTCATTGAAATCCACAAGCATGTGGACAATTTCAAAAGAAAGGAGGAAACTATGAAAATGAAAAATTTACAAGTTTCTACTCTAGGGAGCCTATTTTTTCAGTCAACTACAAATGTAGAGGGATGACTGTATTTAAATCACAGTGCCTCTGGACTCATCAGAATTCTGTTGTTCTGTAGCATCTTTTATTTCTTTTATCTTCAAGCAAGAAACCCAGTCTCCCCCTATGTCTCCTATTGGCTCACCCCCTGCTTCTCCATCCAGCTACCAACGGATGCCCCTGAGTTATGGCTATGGTATATTGAGAAGTGGCATGGAGCAGCAGCAAGGAGGTAAGAGGAGGCATCTTTTGCAGAATCAGGCTGTTTATTTTGTGGGATAATTGCATCCTCTTTCAGAGGAACTCCCTCAGATTCATGTTTCTTGATTCTCATCAGAGTTATTTAAATTATTTAACATTACGCTTTGTACTCAAATTCCTACTATGCATATCTTGCATCATGCTATTATCATTACATATAAAAACCCAAACTTTATCAACAACAGCAGCTGTTCATTAATTTTGAATTCATCTCTGCGCTAGTCTATATAGTTATATGAATTTTTGAGAATGAACTTATACCAAAGAAGCTGTACATCTTCCTTTGTACAGAGTGAGTTTCTCACTTGATTTTCTTGTCCTAGGGATGCAGAATTTTATTTTATTTTCACTTTTTGTGACTGAATTTAAAAAGCATCTAATCCAGTAGTTCCCACCAGTAGTCCACAAGAACTAAAATATGGTTCACAACCTCACCATTACTACACCTCGCAACAAGAGCGATTGGTCTCGCAAATCCTTTTATAGTACCAAGGCTTATTTAAAATATGGTTTTCTGTGGGCAAGCAGATGGCCACTACTGGATGGCATATGTTCTCTATCAGAAACTGGAATTGATGTGGTCTAGCCAATGCAATTTTCTGAATCAGCCCACAAATAACCAAACTGACATTAAAGTTGACCAAAAATTTATTCATAACCCTTCTGATACTAATGTTGGAGAGTGTTCCCTGGTCAAAGTTGTCCCTGTTCAAAAAAGGTTGAGAACCGCTGATCTCTACAGCACTACAGCAATGAGAGGGTGGCAATACAATGTAAAGCAGAAGGCCAATAGCCTATGCATGTAACTTCCTGTTTTGAAGCCTAGCTGTTGAACCAAAGCCAGACAAATCATGTACTTTGAAACAACAACCATTGAACAAAAGCATTAAGAAGTTTCTAAGTTGTGTCTCACTCCTCAGAATATGGAAGTGGTAATTTAAGGTTTCTGCTTTAGTGCCTGTACCAGCTAATCATATCATTGAGTCTTGTGTTGAGATCGTAGAGAATTTCCATTTTGAGGGACCTCTGTTTCCAAAATCCCACAGCAGTTGTGACCATTGGCCATGTTTGCTGTGGATTCCTGGAATGGTATTCTCCAAAATGCAATTTTTCTGAATTCTGCGTGTAGCCACAGCTTAGGATCCATATATACACTTTAGAGCAGCCTTTTAACTCTGGTCATCTTGTGTATATTATCTGATAGCAAGTATCAAAGGGAAACCTTTACCTTTATTATTTCAGTACATCTCCAGCTTGATACTACATAACCACTTTTCCACTGAATAAGTGGAAGGCTCATGCCAACATAACACATGAATACTTAAAATCATTACTGTTTCCAAAAAACCCACTTGAGTTGATATTGTTTATATTAGCAAAACATGGTGTAATGTGGCCCTACAGATTTCATATTGATAGGATAAACTGGATCAATTTGATTTGGAATACCAATGTTGACCTTTAGAATGAAATACTTAAATTTATCTAGTAACCAGTTTGCTGCATTTATGATGAATTAACTCAGAGCAAACTTTGTTTTTTAAACTACAAACCTTTTGTTGATTTGTGTTTTTGTTAATTTAAAGGAAAATAGTATAATTTGTGCTAGTAGAATAGTATTGTTGGCTATCTCCTAAGTTTCCAGTATAATGGATTATAAATAACAGTACCTGAGGCCTTGGAGAACCAATGCCTGTTATAGTAGACAATCTGACTGGTAACACAGCTTAATACACTGTTCTTTTAAAAGGTTATTTGCACCATCTAAAAATAATTTCATTTTATGACAGCCGATTACAATCTAAAAATAGCGAAAGGTGCTTCATAATAAGACTGGAAACACATATTTCCTGGAATGTGCACAAGTCACACGATTGTTTAAAGCTGGATACAACAGCCTAGTCTCTGATTGTGTCTCTGTGACCCAACAGTGGTTGTGTTTTAAAAAGTAAACACTGTGCTCCCCCCACTTCACATTGTGTTGGAAGTTCTTTGAACCTTCTGGCAAGATATTGGAAAGTAAAGAATTAAATCTTAGAAGGAGATGTGTTACTCATCTATAACTCTTCAGGGCATTCTGGTTCATTTTAGTTCTACAGAAACCTGCAAATCTGGTTTGACTAGAATCAGATGAGAATATGTGTGCTATATATAGAATGATAAAGCACCTATTTTTAAAGTAGGACTTCCCACATTAAATCTCTGACAAAGCCAGGGAAGGCCGGGAAAGATTCCTGAAGTGGAGAATTATTATCAGTTAATGTAGGCAGTACAGGCAGTCCCCGAGTTACAAACATCCAACTTATAAATGACTCATAGTTAAGTACGGGGTTGAGACAACAGGAAGTGAGAGAAATCTACCCCTCGGAAGGGAAATTCACTCCTGAAAGAGTTATTACCATGGGGGAAAGGCGTCTGCACTGAAGCTTTAGCACCAATCGTGGTTTGCACAACAAGCCACATTTTAAAAAAAATCCAACTATCACAGGGACAGAAAGTGAGGTGAAATCTTCTGAACAGGGGCATAGACAGCAAAACAAATACAACAGGGGTGTTAAGCTTTCCTTATGCTATCCAAAGCTAAAAAAAAATAATTTTGGCTAAAGTGACACAAAAAAATGTACCTTTTCTGGCTTACATACAAATTCAAATTAAGAAAAATGTACGGAATCTATTTTGTTCATAACTTGGGGACCACCTGTACTGTAAAAGTGACCAATTCTGCTTTGAATTTATTTCCCTGACTCAGCACTTGGGCTTTATCCATTAGCCCAGCCTGCCCTGGATTGACTGCAGTTTATCTTGTGTTTCTGAGAGGAGTAGAATAATCATATAAATAAACAGCTATGGACAGTTATTCCTTGAGAATAAAGTTAATTGGATGTACATTTTTTCTTAATAGGCATGTAGAAATTGATTTTCAGAGAGGGATTGCATCTGTGAAGGGAAGAGTTGATTTTGTAGAAAAATATGAATGGGAATCAGAACATATGCAGTCATGTTTGATTTGGGCTTGCCTTGACTGCTGCACTCTTGAAATTTTTGGACTTCCATTTGTTTTGGGGTTTTAACACAAAGCCTCCCAATTTTAGTAGTGTGCCATGACCAGTAGCATTTGATGAAGGAACTTAATAGTTTAACATGAATTTGCTTATCTATGCTTTTACGTTGATTTTGCACTACCCTAGTAAACATTCTTATTTATTTCTCATTAATTTTACATAGGTTCCTACGAAGCTAGAGTTCTTAGTCAGCAACAAGATGGACTAACATCAGGAAACTATGGCTCCAAATCCCTACCAACACATTCCAGTCTTGTTCGGGTAAAAACCCATATTCACTGATATCTACTTTATCTGATCTTGTTTTAAGTTGAATTCCTTGCCTGTCTAGAAAGAACAGGAAAACCCTAGCCTGATGCCTGGAGAAGTACAGCTACTCAATTCTTAGCACTTCTGGACTAGATGGATTAATAGTTCATCTTGGTTCTGGACAACCTCCTGTAGATCTATATTTATTTATTTATTTACTTTATTTATACCTCACCCTTTTCACCCTGAAGAGGACTCAGAGCGGCTTACCAACTCCAGCAAAAAATCAATGTCGCATCACACCCATAGCAGTAAGCAAACCACATTAAATTATAAAACACTTAATACATATAAATACAGTAAACAGATTTGAAACATACAGAGTGCCAAGTCATGGTTTCCATACTTCTTGGTTTTCCTATAGCCATTATTCAAATTGCTAGGTCGAGGTCGAATTCCGTGTTACCCTACGCCTGAACAGAGCCAGGTCTTTAGCTTTTTCCTGAAGACCAGAAGGGATGGGGCCACTCTAATGTCACCGATGTTGAGTTCCCCAACCAAGGGGCCACCATTGAAAATGCCCTGTCTCTTGTACCCACCAGATGCACTTGCGAAGGGGGTGGGACCGAGAGCAGGGCTTCCCCAGCAGATATTAAAACTCTAGTTGGCTTCTACGCTCAGACAGGTAAGTTGGACGGGAACCCCTCTCCCCCGATCAAAAGACTGGCAGTGGCCATTAAACAAGAACGCGACCTTAGATGTACCACTCTCTTATCATCTTTAGATGTAATAGTTTCCTTCCTCCACACCTTGAGGAACACTATAATATTTAACCCTCTGGTACTCTATATGAGATGCTGACATGATTCAAAGACTCTCATATTGCCCAAAACATTTATTGAGTTTATTTTGAATAGAGACAAAAAAAGACAAGAGTTCCACCAATCTTCACATCTAGAACAGTGTCTCTAGAACATGGCCATATAGCCCAAAAAAACCTACAACAACTCAATCTTCACATCTGTTGGAGAGCCACAATGCTGCAAAAGGTGAAAAACCATGAAACATGAAAATATATCTCTAGGTCCTCCATTGCGACTTCAGTCAACCTCCACCAGAAGTTGATCAAAGAATTGTACTGGAGTACCTAGATATTTCTAGAGAGATATAATCAAGTCTGTAAAAGTTAAATCTGCAATTGTAGGGGGCTGACAGTGTTTGTTAGACAAAGCCAAACTCTGCAGTTAATCTTTAGATGCAATAAACAGTTTCTATGTGTGATTTACCTCATGTGAGAAAATCTAGAATGCATTTGAAATATCAAGGACAAAGATGAGGAATTCTCACAGCAGAACTCAAGGGTGTTGGTCAGAAGAAAAGCAACTTACCTTGCAGTCTTGCTTTTGTTTTTTATGTGAAATTTGAATGGATCAGAAAGCTATTTGAAAAAAAACTTGCTACCTGGGAGATTTCAAGAAGATTACAACCAGAGAAAGGGGCAGCCCGGGGGTGGGGTTTTGCTTCTTTCTATTTTTCTTTGACGCACAATATGAGAATTTGCTTTGATTGAAATTCTTGTTCATCTTTTGACTGCTGGAAGTAGAATTTAATATAGAATTTATTAGCAGATTCTGTTGCAGAAGTTTCCTAAGCAAACTTAATGTATGTGTGGATTTTCTGTGCAGCTTGTCCTACCCTCTTGACAATGTGCACCATCAGTGAAATGATGTATTGAACCTCCATTTGAGACAGTTGTTTCTTCCCCCTTCTTTGTAGAATTCTCTGTTTAGCTGGTTATTGCTGTAGCTGATGAAAATCAACACACAGGCTGGATCTGCACTGCCCTATATCCCAAAATCTGATCCCAGATTATATAATTTGAACTGATTATATGAATCTGCACTTCCAGATCATTGGAAATAAGCAGATAATCTGGGATGAGATCCTGGGCTATAGGGCAGTGTAAATCCAGCCGCAATAGGCATGCTCAGATATCACAACAAACTGGAAATCTCAAGAATTCTAGTTAGTTGTAAAGGTAAAGGTTTCCCTTTGACATTAAGTCTAGTCATGTCCGACTCTGGGGGTGGCACTCTTCTCCATTTATAAGATGAAGAGCCGGCATTATCCATGGATGCCTCCAATGTCATGTGGCCAGCATGACTGCATGGAGCACTGTTACCTTCCCACCGTTATCTATAGATCTACTCATATTTGAATGTTTTTGAACTGCTAGGTTGGCAGAAATTGGGGCTAACAGCTGGAGCTCACCCCGCTCCCCAGATTTGAACTGCCAACCTTCCAGTCAGCAAGTTCAGCAGCTCAGCGCTTTAACCTACTGCACCACTGGGGTTTCAAGTTTGTTGTAGATAGAAACTCAAATATCCTGGTTTATTGCTCCCATTTGCTTGATGTATTATCCAACATCTCCTTGTAAGAGCAGTGACACATATCAAGATACCTAATGTTTTGAGAAATATGATATCCCACAAGCTTCTCCCAAGTTCAGATGTCTTAAAGCACAAGCCAATACTGGTCCATGTTTTCTTTGGTAGTTCCTACTGTCAATAGCAGTGATCCATCACAATGTGAGTGACATTCTGGGGGAATGATGGAATACTTGTCTTTCTTATTTTAAATGTTGAGACACTGAATTTGAGAGTTTGTTACCCCCAAAATGCAGTCATGAGTTTATTCACCTGTGTCAATATTTGCAATTCCTCCTTTTAAAAGAGCAAAACATCCTTAGTGGAAACACAATCTGAAAAGCACTTTCCCCCTGCAAAACAGAGTACTTTCTTTCACATTAGATTACAAAGTACAGTCATTCAATTTTCTGAAGATACTTCATGCCCAGAATTATACTGGTAAAGATGAGATTGCTAAAGCACTTTTTGAATGCCTCTAAAGTACGTACATAACTGTGGCACACATTTTTGACAAATTGTATGGCTTTAAATAGGTTTTAGGTTTTATATGTGTAGAAGCAATGTTTGAAAGCCCAACAGTACTGTCATTAAGTTCAGTCCCTTCCCCTCCATTTTTCAAAAAGAACTATAGAGTCAGAACAAAGTGAGACAAATGCTTTGAAACTTCAGAAATCCCAGCCTTTTCTGTACCTCTCCAAATGACACTTTGCCCTTTTGTTTGAAGTCTCTTTCAGTCGAGAGGGAACCACAGGACAGCAGTAGTAATTACTCGGATGACCCCTGGAGGATCACAGAGGAACAACGGGAATATTACATCAACCAGTTCAAGTCCCTACAACCTGATCTGAATTCTTTCATTTCAGGTAATTTCGTGGCATGCACACTGAGGGAGGCTAGATTGAAAGACATGGAGGTTAAAACCAAATTCACATAGACAAAATGCAATCCTCTTGTGTTTATTTTGGGCAGTGGCAAGTACATTGGTAACTGACATAATAAAAAAATGAAATTGATGACTATGTTGATTTACATTTTAGATTGGACAGTTTGATCAGATGAACATGATCGAGAGATGTCTTTGCATTCTACTGAGTTCAGTGAAATAATAATAGTAATAAAACTTGATTTATGTACCGCTCTATGTCCCCAGCAGTTTCCAAGCAACATCACCAAACATACAGAGTAAATAGCATAACAAAGTTAACAAAACAACATAAGCATAAAATTATCCCAATCACACACATATATATTAAAAATAATCCTGCCTGTTCAGAGCAATTAAAAGGCCGGGCCGAGGCTGAGTGCAAGCTCAAAATATGAGGGGACCGGGAATTAAGTACAGTGCTATAACAGGCTAACAGCAATAGCAGGTACAGGTCTGTGGGTGCTCATTTCCAGGGCCTATTAGAGGGATGGCTGGGGTAATAGGTAGGAAGTATAAGGAAAGAAATTCAGGTCTTTGATATGTATTGCATTGCACCAAATATTTGATTTTTGTGTGTGTCAGGAGTGACTTGAAAAACTCCCAAGTTGCTTCTAGTGTGAGAGAATTGGTCGTCTGCAAGGATGTTGCCCAGGGGACACCCGGATGTATCCTTGTGGGAGGCTTCTCTCATATCCCTGCAATGGGGAACTGGAACTGACAGAGGGAGCTCATCCGCACCCTCCCCGGATTCGAACCTGCAACCTGTTGGTCTTTCAGTCCTGCCGGCGCAAGGGTTTAACCCATTGAGCCACCGGGGGCTCCAATATTTGATGTGTACATGGTTTTCATAGCATGCTTTTAAATTAAAATGAATTAAATTAACTTGAAGTGGTAGATAGTAAAAATGTAAACCTTTAAATATTTTGCCCTCACATACAAGGACAAATTACAGTAGTGTTCTTCCAGTAGCAGGAGAAAGTGAATGTTCCTCTGAAACATTTTTCTGTATTCAGATGTACCAAAAGTGTTGCAAAGGAATCCCTCATCAGAGAAAAACACATATTTTCTGCTCACATAAAATATTTTCTGTGCAGAAATTCTCACTGGGCTGTTATTCCTTCTTAATTTCTTTCCTAGCTGTTAGAAAAACCTGTTTTCCAACCAGAGAAACATTAATTGCAATATTCTTTCTATTCCTACCTTTCACAACTGCATTTGTGATCTGCATTTATGATCTTTCCTAGAAGGTTGTTGCAGATTTAATGAGGCACAGGGGAGCTGCAGATGGAAAGTGAAACTGGACTTGCCTGTGTGAGAGATTAAGTTTCATCTTAAACAATTACTTGTGTTTTAATTCTGCCTAATAAATATACTTGTGGAATGAAAAACACTCAATTGGCAATTTATGCACCACAGTAAACTTGAAATTCTTTTAACAGGTTATCTTCTTGGAGGAAAAACAGTAATGAACTGAACAGACATCTCAGGGTCATCTCTGATGTTGTCTCTTCAATAGACATTTTTCTTGGGGGTTTTTTTGTGTGAGAGAAGTAGCAAGATGTTGCTCCAAGGAAGGGCAGACAACGGTAGCAATAATGTAATTTATGTTAAAGAGGATTGGGGGGGGGGGGCGTACAAAAATCACATTTCCAGTTCAACAAGCAATTAACTCAATTGTTCTTGACCTCCCTCCTTGCCGCATTTTTATTTATAAAGACATAGTCTTGCTTTGTAACTTATTTCCTGATTTATTAAATGTGTTTGTTGTGATGTATGAACCAGGATTTTGTTAAAGAAAAATCCTGGCTTCGAGGGAGTACAGAATTTTTTTCTATTGTGGCAAAATCAGAAAATAGCCTATATGTGAAACAGAAGAGAAGACTCATTCCCCAGTCTTCTGGTGATATTTACACCAGGCCTGAACGTGCTTCTGACTTCCAGAGCTGTTTGATGATTGCAGCATTTAGATCTTTACTCTAAAAAAACAATAAGCATTTTGCTGAAGTTCCAATTTTATTTATCCCAAGTTTTTAAGGCAGATGCCCTTGCTTTTTGATGGTGTACATCATGGACGGGCAACTGTGGAAGACTGTGCAGCATTAACCTTGGGGTGGACTCCAAACATGTGGAAATGCCCTCTGCATTCCTTTGTGGCATTTTTACATTTTATTTTATTTGCCCCAAAAAATTTTTTGGAAACATCTAATCCCTGCAAAGCCCTAGAGACCACAAAACAGCCCTGGGGTCACAAAAATGGCCCTGAGAACTGTATGTGGCCTGCAGGCCACGCTTTGCCCATCGCAGACATGGAACAAATGTCTGTAAAACTCTTAGGGAGATTCTTGTCTTTATTTAGAAATGAAACAATGGTTAAAATTATAAGAGATAATATTAACATTATTTTGAATTATTAAATGTGTGTCAGTTCTAGACAAAATCCCAAGTACAAACAGGTACCTTCCTAAAAAATCAGGCAGCTAGTGGTACCAGTGATAATAATATAATGAGTCTATTCTGGGCTTTAGTATAAACATTAAAGGAGATCTAAGAAGTGCTTAACCTTTGCTCCAGTATAAATCCAACATATTGGACAACTCCTTTGAAATAGCGATCATAAGCCAGAATTGATTTACTGCCTCCATCGTCACATCAAAATCACCAAACACTATTTTATGTGCCTGTATATGTATGCATGTCTCCAACTTGCGTGTCTCCAACTTGCGTGTCACCATAAGGAATTTCTTATGGTTTTATTATACAATGAATACTTAGAGGTTATTTGCTGTCTTCCTTTGATAATTAATCTACAGCACCTGGTATTTCTTGGTGGTTCCATGCATATAATTATCAACCATGACTCTGTTTAGTTTCCAAGATCTGAGAGGATCTGATGCCTTCAAGGCATTGTCATGAACTGGATCACTGCCATCAATTTTAACTAGTTACACCTTTGGTTCCTGATCAGGTTGAAGAGTAACAAAATAGAGAGCCTGTGTGGTATAATAGTATGAGGTTTGGACTGATTCTGGAGAATGATATGAATTGCCACTCAACCATGGAAACCCACCAGGTGATGCTGGGCAAGTTGTACTCTTAGCCTCTGACTCTTGCTAAGTTTTTCATTAGGGTTGCTATAAGCTGTAAACAACTTGAAAGCATACAACAACAAAGTAACAGAATATTAGAACAGAAAATTTCCAATCAACAGGTCTAATATAGAGTAACTATAACCAAAATTAATCCTTTTCTTTCTTTCTTTCTTTCTTTCTTTCTTTCTTTCTTTCTTTCTTTCTTTCTTTCTTTCTTTCTTTCTGCAACTCATGGACAGTCAAGAGCATTACTATAGAGCAGTGGTTTTTAACTTACAGGCCGTGGACCACCAGTGGGCTGCAAAGATGAAAATCTGGTCCGCGAGCCTCCTCTTTATTTATTTATTTATTTATTTATTTATTTATTTATTTATTTTATTTCCATTTCTTTCGTGCTATCAGACACTTCTTCCCTATCGCTGACCAGCCCCGACCCCTTGGATAGACCACATCAGTTCTAGATTATTAAATATGGTTTTCTGTGGGCGAGCACATGGCAACTACCAGATGGCATATGTCCTGTATCAGAAACTAGAGCTGATGTGGTCTATCCAATGCAATTTTCTGAATCAGCACCCCAGATAACCAAACCGAATTTAAAATTCACCAAAAACTGATTCGTAACCCTTTTGGTACTCATGTTGGAGAGTGGTCACTGGTAAAAAAAAAGTTGGGAACTACTGTTCTAGAGCATCTGTATAAATTTAACAAGTTTGTGAACATTTGCCTCTTTGTTTGTTTATTGTTCAAAATACATAGAACTTGTTTATTATTTCACCCCTTCTTTGTTAGCAGGTTCTATAGCTAAGAACTTCTTCACAAAATCCAAGCTTCCTATCCCTGAGCTTTCACATATATGGTAAGTATGATTTTGTGATTCAGAATTGTGTTTGTGTATGTGTGTGTGTGCAAGTATACAGATGTCTCATGGTTACTGAAAAGTTCTCCATACTTTTCAAATAACCCTCTAAAGGAATCATAGTCATTGCCCTTATAAAAACAGTTTGAGGTCCAAGCACAGCAGGGTGTATGTTGATCTTTCTATTATGCTTGCTATCTTTGTTGAGATGCTGTTCCTTCTCAGCAGGACTAGGGAGATTTGAATAGTGATGCATACTGGAAATGTTCTGAAGGATATTTTTAAGAATGTAATTAGCACAACAATACTTTTGTGCTAATTATTTTTTTGGTGGATCCAGATACTTCTGTGCATTGGATTCAGATAAACACACATTAGGAATGGTTAAGATAACATCCTAAGTTTCAGTTCTAGCTGTGCTTGTCAAGTGAGACCTAATTAGTAGCCAACTTCTTCAATAAGTTCAGCTGCATAATTCATCAATACTTTCCTAATGAGACCTGACCCCAATGTTTTAAAGAAAATACTCCGCAAACATTTCAGATGGCCCTGTTTGAGCTAACTTTTATTTGAATCCTATTACTTTTATATCTGAACTTCTAAGAGAAATCATTACCCAGTTATAGAAGAAGACAATCAGAACCAATATTAAAATACCTTAAAAATATAATGAAGAGTCTAGGGGCAATCAGAACCAAAAATATAACGAAGAGTCTACATATTGGGAAATTGTATTTGGCTGTTGCAAACATATCCAGTTTCCTCAAAGTTCAAAATCTTTTATCTTACCACAGTGTTTTTTCCTGCTTTCTCTCTACTCTTTTCTGATTTTCCGGTCTTTTTCTTACCAGGCATAGGAGTTTTTTTCCTTCTTTTTTACATTTCCATGTATTTGTTGCTTAAATCCTTGTACATGGACTTAAAGCCCAAACTCCCCACCTTCCTTTTTCCACATGTAGGTAAGAAATAACATTTCTCACTGCAAAAACAACAACAACAACAACAACTCAATGGTGCCCACCTAAGGAAAAGAAAATAAGAAGCAAATGTCCCTTAAGATATTCTACACCCATTCTGCTATTTACAATTAAGGACTGTCACAATAACCTTTTAATGGCTGTGCCCATCAGTGGGTCACTCTGAAGTTTAATTTTCAAAGACCGAAAATTGTCAATTACAGTTGTTGTTTCACTTATTGTCCAGAAACTGCAAAAGGCAGCATGAGATCAATATTCAGGATCATATATATAGGTTATATAGAAAAATTCAATAAAATCCACAAAGCAGTGATACCTTTATTGACTCAAATAAGAAACTTGAAAGATGGATTGTCAAAGGCTTTCATGGCTGGAATCCCTGGGTTGTTGTAGGTTTTTCGGGCTGTATGGCCATGTTCTAGAAGCTTCTAGAACATGGCCATACGGCCTGAAAAACCTACAAGAACCAAGCTTGAAATACATCATGCAAAATTTTTAAAGCATTACTAGCTTCTTCTTCATCAGGCAGAGATGTTAAAAATCATAAGGAAGGAAAAAAAGTAATGATGTTATAAACACAGGCCTGCATTTTGTCTTAGATATTACTGCTTTTGACAGTTAAGATGATCTGGAAGGATCTCGGTGCAGCTATAAGTGTCTCCCTTTCTTGGCCATGTGGGAACTAGAGATAAAGGGCAGTAAAACACAGACAATAACATGTCAAATACATAACAGCAGCAGCAGAGTAACTTCCATTGAGATCCAGGCTGGCTCTGTCCTGTGTGAAGCTGACTGTCCCTTTCTTAGGCAGGGAACATTGAACTTCTCTACAGACTCTGTTACATCTGGAAAAAAATTAGGTGCTGTATAGGTGAAACTTGCCAATTGTAACAGATTTGTTTCTTCTGAAATAATTGAGCAGAACAACAACTGCATATTTTACATGTTCTGCAAAACCTTACTCTCGTTTTTTAATCAGAGCTGGAAATCCAGGTTAACTAACACTGTAAATGGCACCAAAAGGCATGGCTAAAATTCCAAGTAAAACTAACCAGTCTCACACTATGAAACTGCATCTTCCACTCCTTTTATTTCCTGTTCATTTTTTGTCTTTTTCATTCCCACCACCCCTTTCTCATTCAGACTTTTTGTTTCTTTTGTCTCCTCCTCTGCATATCAGGCAGAAGGTATTTTCATTCTCTCAGTAAACATAGATGTGTGTGTACATATGCACACATTTGTTCAGCACCAGAAATAGGAAAGGTTGACAAAATTGAGATCTACACCCTTTCAATGATGAGAAAGGCTGGAAGGAATAGGAATTACTCCTGTCCTCCAGATGTGGTTGGACCACTGAGAGTCACAATCCAACAATGTCTGGATTCCTGCCACTGGTTCAAGTAGTCTCATCATCAGCTGCAAGCATTTGATTCACCATTGGTGCTTTGTGGTTTGTTTGCTTTTTGGTTGTGTCAGGAGTGACTTGAGAAACTGCAAGTCGCTTCTGGTGTGAGAGAATTGGCCATCTGCAAGGACGTTGCTCAAGGGACACCCAGATGATTTGATGTTTTATCATCCTTGTGGGAGGCTTCTCTCATGTCCCCGCATGAGGAGCTGGAGCTGATAGAGGGAGCTCATCCGCCTCTCCCCAGATTCGAACCTGCGACCTGTCGGTCTTCAGTCCTGCCGGCACAGGGGTTTAACTCACTGTGCGCCACAGGGGGCTTCGTGGGGTGCATCTATACTGTAGAAATAATTTAGTATGGCACCACTTTTGTTGTGATGTCTCAGTACTATGGAGTAATGGGAGTTGTAGTTTTGCAAGATCATAGAATCATAGAGTTGGAAGAGACCACAAGGGCATCCAGTCCAACTCCTTTCTACTATGCAGGAACATACAATTGATTGTATGTACCCCAGACAGATGGCCATCCAGCCTCCCTTTAAAAATCTCCAGAGAAGGATACTCCACCACACCTCCAAAGAAGAATATTCCAATGCTGAACTAGTCTCACCATCAGGATGTTCTTCCCAATGTTTCGGTGGAATCTCTTTTCCTGCCATTTCAGGTCTTCTCTGATGAAGAGTGCAAATTAAAACTTCCACAATTCCATAACAAAGAGTCATGGAAGTTAAAGTCGTGCCAAGTTGCATTGCTTCTAGAGCGTAGATGTGCCCTTGTTTTTTAAAACCTTCTTATTTCCAGTGAATCATCTTACTCCTGAGGAGTCAAGTGCTTGCTATATAGTGATTCAATTAGGTATCACCAACTAGCAATTATCTATTGAAATAAAATCAGTTCTTTTAAAACTTTAAATAGGCTTTCTTTTAGTTACCCATGCTCAATTTCACGCATTTAGGTTTCAGTCTTGGAACTGCAGTACATACACATACATAAAGAGAACATAGTTTTTATGTCTTGGTTTACTCCATCGGGTCTCGAAGTTGCCTTAGTTGGCAGATATTTTATACATTTACATGGTAGGAGAAGAATGTGTAAGAATTGTACAAACATTAATCTTTATCCCAACATTGTTGTGAATGACTAGTTGCAGTATGTACATTAGATAAGGCACTGATCACACAAAAATATTGTAAAGCTTTTGTTATCAGATTCAAATAAATAGAAAGAAAGTATTGTTAAAAAAGAAAAAAATCCATACCTAGAAAATAGTTTTCCCAGTTGTTATTACTGTGTGCTTTTCAGTTATTTTCTCACTTATGACAACCTAAAAACGAACCTTTCACTGTGTTTTTTGGCATGATTTGTTTATCTGAAGCTGAGAGAGTGTGACTTGGTTGACATCACCCAGTGGGTTTCTATGTGTGGATTCAAACCCTGATCTCCAGCATCATCCAGCACTCAAACCAATACATCTTGTTGACTTTCTCTTTCCCACTAGTTAGGTTTAATGTGTGTAAACAAACACTTTGCTAAAACAATGGTCTGAGGTAGGTTGCTCACAAATATATTATTTGCAGGGAACTTAGTGACGTAGATCGTGATGGAGCACTGACGTTAGCAGAGTTCTGCGCTGCCTTCCACCTCGTTGTTGCACGGAAGAATGGTTATCTTTTGCCAGACACCTTGCCAGAGACACTGCTCCCTGACTATCTTCAAGCAGGTGAAGTTTTCATTTTCATACAGAAGATCTGCTTCAGTGGATTAAACAGCCTTTTAAGTGAAGTTTGTCTTTTGCTGACGTTTTGGGAAAACAGCTCTAAAATTACAGGGTTTTTCATTGTGTCTAAATGATATGATTAATACAGGCAGTTTAGCAAAAAAAGAAAGAAAAGAAAAGGAAGACCCACAAAAACAAAAGCTATAACAGTTTTGTTAGCTTAAAAATAAAATAAAATAAAATTTATTTTATTGGCTGATAATAGATTTAGAAGGTTTCCCATATTTTCATCCCACAGGTAGCAAGTTTTTCTCTCCTGGGACACTATAGCAATATAATCACAAAATATTATATAGTATATCGCAAGTGCTCCAAAATTAGAGCTTGTGTGCATGTGTCTTCAAGTTGCCTTTTGGCTTATGGTGCCTCCATGAAAGGTTTTCTTAAGTAAAAAATACTCAGAGGTGATTTTGCCAGTTCCTTCTCCTGAAATGCCTACACCACCATCATTGGTGATCTCCTATCTAAGTATTAACCAGGGATGACCCTGCTAACTTCTAAAATCAAATGGGACTCAATGCCTTTAGGGTAACTACTTAGATTCTAATATTTAAACTCTAATACTTTGTTTGGAGTTGTAGTTCAGATTTCTATTATTGTTTTTAAATAAATATTAACATGCGTACTTGAGGTCATCATAAATTTACAAACTGCATATATATAGTTTCTGTCTTAGAATATGAATTATTGAATGAATATATCTCAAATACAGAGCAATTTTCATGGCAACACACTGTGGGGCCTTCCATACAGTTGCTTAATCCTGAAAATCCCAGTACCTCAAGCAAAGTTCATACATGGAGCTCTCAGGCCTGGGAAATAATTCCATGGAGTCCAGAAAGATTTGGTTAATGTGGATTGAAGAGAACTGCCAAAGGTATGGCAGGACATTTACCAGAAGTTTTCTTTTAATTTTTTCCCTTATGATTCTCCAAGAAGTGCTGCACTTCATAAGCATTTGGTGAAGTTGCAGTGCTGATACAAATATAACAAAGTGTGCACAAGCAGATTTTCTGTCATCATCTCTCCCTCACTCCTGGTGCCTCTAGGGGCGGTTCCAGACAGCCCTTTAATCTGGTGTTTGTTAAATGACCTAATCTTTTTTATACTGGTTTTAAACCACTTCATTTGATGTGTTGCAATAGCAGATTCCCAGATTAGTTTAGTATGACTTGGCCACGGTGGTCCACCTTCTGGTTACATCCCATATAGACTACTGCAACACTCTCTACGTGGGGTTGCCTCTGAAGACTGCCTGGAAGCTTCAACGAGCGGCAGCCAGATTACTAACAGGAGTGGGGTACAGGGAGCATACTACTCCTCTGCTGCGCCAGCTCCACTGGCTGCCAGTTAGCTTCCGAGCACAATTCAAAGTGCTGGTGCTGACCTATAAATCCCTAAACGACTCTGGCCCAGTTTACCTGTCCGAACGGATTCTCCCCTATGAACCATCAAGGTTGTTAAGATCTTCTGGAGGGGCCCTGTCCTCGGTCCCACCACCCTCGCAATCTCGTCTGGTGGGGACGAGGGACAGGGCCTTCTCGGTGGTGGCCCCTCGGCTCTAGAACTCTCTCCCATTGGAGATTAGATCTGCCCCTTCCCTCCTGACTTTCAGAAAGCTGGTAAAATTTTGGCTTTGGAATAAAGCATTTGCAGAATGATGATTGAATCAATAACTGCTGACCACACTGGCGGATAGTGATGAATTTGTGTTTTTACTCTGACGACCTGGCCTTATATAATTGTATGATCTGTATTTTAATGTATTTGTATTAATGTATTACGATGTTGTTATGTTTTTATTCTATTTGTGTATGAATTTCCTGCTGTGAACCGCCCTGAGTCCCTCTTTGGAGGTCGGGAAGACTGGGTTATAAAAGCTCTAAAAAATAAATAAATAAAATAAATAGTATTTACACTTTTTTTGTTATTTAATATTTAATGTTTATTTTACTTGTGATATTTGTCTCTACTGTTCTAATGTAGCACAAATCCTATGTAAAATCTTACTACGTATTTTTGAAATTAATATTGAAATGTGAAATATATACAGGGAGCATACAACGCCTCTATTGCACCAGCTCCACTGGCTGCCAGTTTGCTACCGAGCAGAATTCAAAGTGCTGGCTTTAGCCTATAAAGCCCTAAACGGTTCTGGCCCAACTTACCTGTCTGAATGCATCTCCTCTTATGAACCATCTAGGACTTTAAGATCATCTGAGGAGGCCCTGCTCTTGATCCTGCCTGTGTCGCAAATACGTTTGGTAGGGGCGAGAGACAGGGCCTTCTCAGTAGCGGCCCCTCGGCTATGGAACACCCTTCCTAGGAACATTAGATCGCCCCCTCCATTTTAACATTCTGGAAAAAGGTTAAGACTTGGTTGTTTGAGCAAGCATTGTTTTCCTTGGTTGTTTGAGCAATGCAGTGTAACAGACAGGAAATTGGGGCAATTGGATGACGAGACTGGAACATTGTTTTTAACTAAGAGACGTAAATGCTCTATGTTTTATAAATTTGATATGATTTTATATTATATGTTAATGTTTTAAATGTCTTTATGGTGATGTGAGCATTGAATTGCTGCCTCTGTAAACTGTCCTGCGTCATCTATGGGCTGAGAAGGATGGTATACAAATATAGTAAATAAATAAATAAATGTGATTGCTTCTGAGTTCTAGTCCATACCCCTCTCAGAAAGTGCGTGCTTTTCTAGAGAGGGGGAGGTGTCCAGATGACCTCCCAGAACCTTCCTGGAAGACAGGAGACAGCCCCCAAGCCATCCCAAAATGCCTTTAAATGGCATTTTTTTAAAAATAACTTATCTGGCCACCATTAAAGTGCTGCCAGAGCTCTCCTGGCATGGATTTTATTTTAAAGCACTTTTCTGGTGGGGGGGGGGGGGGGGGGGGGGGAGGTGGTTAGAGCCCTCTTGGATATTCTAGCCTCCTGGAGGTTGAAAAACGCAAGAGGGCTGTGTGGACAGCGCCCTCAAAAGTCCCAGGACTTCTGAAGGGGCAGTCCAGGCTCCACCCATAGTGACAGATTACCTTGGCACAAAGCAGGGTTTTTCTGCTTTGTGCCGAATGCAATTGTGTTTATGTGGGGCATTGTTTAGATGCCCCACATGAAAATGTAGGAGGGCACACACTTTAAGTGCTGTCTGGATGTGCTCTAGCTTTGCCTTCTTGAATTTCTCTTTGGAGTCACTTGCCTCTGACATGCTGGTGTCTCCTGTGTAATTTCAAGTGCCGTTTCCTTTCTGTAATACATAGGAAATGGGAACAAAAAAATGGTTGGAGAGAGTTCTCATGGGAATTGCTTTCCAATAGTATTTCCATTTAGCCACCTGTGTGTCCATGGCTCCATCTGTTTACATTCCTCCATCAGCTGTTTTGGGATTTTAAAATGAGGATGAATGTTAGAGCAGTCTAAACCTTGGAACTCTTTTTTTTTTTTGGAGAGAGCTGGGATATACAGTGCTTTGTAGCAGCATATTTTTCACCCTATATTGGATTTTATGAAAACATTTTTATTACATGTTTTTCATACAGATCAAGTGCACATTGTGGGTGTGAATTTTATAGCTGCAGACACCTTTTATCTCACCTTCTACTGAGTTTTCAGGCCTCTGCAGATTAAGGCAAGAAACATTGTAATTCATGGGGAAAATGTAGATTAAGTAAACAATTGTGACAGGCACAATAGTTAATGTTTTCCGCCTTAGAAACTCATACTACCTCATTTTCAGCTGAAATGCAACATGAGAGTCATTTAGTTTTTACCTCTTGGAGTTTTTAAGACAACTTTAATGTACACATGAAAAATATCAAAAATCAAAACACTGTTCAGGTGGGAGACAAATAATGGAGTTGAAGCTGCGTTGCTCATTCTGGATGTTTATGACTAATACAAAGATTGATTATTTTTCACTGTTTTTCCTTCTAGGTTCTTTCAAATCTAAAAGTGATCGGGTGGTGACTTCTTATTCAGAATCTTTGTCAATAAATCAACAAACAAGGGACTTCGGCAGAACTGAGGTAAAAAAAACCCTAATCCTCATGTCTTTCGCTTACCAATTTAAACTAATACTTTACTTATTCTTATTGTCTCTATGTTCATCAAAATATATGAATTTTGTATTAATTTTATAACTGCAAGCAAGTCTTTTCATCCTATCTGATTTAATAATGAAGCAGACACAGTCCCTACTTCACAAACACAAAAGAACAAAAGCAAAGGCAGGAGCATCAGACCTAGTTGTTCCAATTCTTTTTATGGCAGGATGCACACATTGGAATTACCTTTTGTATTGGAATTTCTCCGCTCTTGAAAGCAGGCTCTGCTTGGTATGAGTACACAGAAAACTTGTATGAGTTTAATAGATTTGAGTTGGGAGAATGAGCTAATGGGGAATGTTTCAATATCGCAAAAATGGGAGAATATTGCTTGTTGCAACTCTGGAAGCTTTATGGAAAAATGGAAAATTTGGTAATGAGACCTGACCAGACATTCATCTTCTCTTTCTTTAGAAATTATTTCTCATTTTATCCTGGAATACATAAAATTTGAGATTTAGGGTATCTTGTTTCAGTGAATGATTTGTTGCTAAACTTTTTGTTACAATTATTGAATGTATTTTTTGGATAAATCCTTGGATATCTAAATTTGGAAGTGTGGATGTAAATGTATATTGCTGTAGATTGATTTGTATGTGCATCTATTCTCTCTCCCTCCTCTTTTTATTTTTTTAAACACTCAGCTTGAAACTGTCTGCGAGGATCCAAACAATTCAGAACCATTGATCCATTTTGAGGCAGCATCTCTTGAGCCAGTTGGTGACCATTTTTATGTTTCATATTTATTGCATTATCCGATATATGTAACTTTAATTTTCTTTTGTGTTTCTGTTGAAATTCTTTGTCTGCTGCATTATTACAAAATCAGTAGTATGAAGAGTAGTTAAAAATGTTTAATTGTAGCATGCGTTTGTAAACACATTACTGGAACAATATCCAGCTAAAACGTGCTTAGACAGCAGATCAACAGGATATTATTATTGCTGATTTTATCATCATCATCACCATCACCATTATAATTATTATCATGATCATTATTATTTATATCCCACCTTTTCTTTTCCAGTTTTGGACTCAAAGCTGCATGTGGTAGGAAAAAATACAGTTAAAAATTGACAGCATACAAAAGTTAAAAAGACCATCCAATTTTTTTCCATGTCAGGAGCAACTTGAGAAACAGCAAGTCGCTTCTGGTGTGAGTAAATTGGCCGTCCGCAAAGACTTTGCCCAGGGGATGTCTGGATGTTTTACTACCCTGTGGGAAGCTTCTGTCATGTCCCCATATGAGAAGCTGGAGCTAACAGACGGGAGCTCACCCTGCTCCCTACATTTGAACCACTGACCTTTGGGTCAGCAGTCCTGCCAGCACAATGATTGCATCACTGGGGGCTCCTATCCAAAATTTAAAGTTTGTTAAAAACAGGCTATGGAATTTCCGCTTGCTGTCTTTAGACTTCTCCCTGCCATCTTTCTGCAAGCAGGAAATACCTTTTTTAATTTAAGTGGGCTTCTGGCTTTTTATATGATGTGGTAGACGAAGTTTTAATAGGCGGGCTGTTGTTGTTTCTATTTTATTATGGTTTATATGTGTTTTTAGAACTGCTTTTAATCCACAGTTTTAACTAGTGTTTACAGATAGAAGCTTGATAGAATTGTGCTTGAAGTTGTTTTACTGAAATCTTTTAAGAGTATTATGCTACCTTGGATCTCATGTTGGAAGAAAGGCAGGAATGAATGAATAGTGGAGTTATTTTTCCCTGAAAAAAATTCTCAAAGGCCTACCAGAGGAAAAGAAAGTTAAGGAGGATGCCTGTCATCTCTTGGAAGGAGAAATACAAGATAATCTGTTGGAATGATCCTTGTAGAACTGATTCATAACCTGGAAAGTAACAGAATATGAAATTATCATACAGGACTACTTGTGTATCAACAATGTCTCCACTTGGATGACTCTTAGGAAATTTGCATAGGTTTCAGTTCTTCAGTATGGGTTGACATTATACTGTTCTTGCAATAATATTACCGTCATGTTAAAACGGTGATTCTTTTTGCAGGAACCAATTCGTCATTTTAGCGGGGCATTTTTTTTCTCCTGTGAGAAAATCATTTGGAACTCTGTGGTTTTTGAAGACCATTAACAAGACAGAATTTGCTCCATGCAAAATTAGCATGTGGGGGTTTATGTTTAGAATTTTATGTTCCAAAACATTTTTGGTGCTGAAAATTCTGTTTTCTTTACCAAAAATGGCCGTATATGCCCAGGATTATCCATGTCAGAATTTTCCAACATGCAAAATGTTACTTCATCTAAATTGTTTGATTTAAACACTCTTTTTAACAGTCTTTCCAGTTCTGCACTATATTGTATCACCAATATAGGAAGGAGTAAAGAGGAAGAGAATTAAGACTTCTACCTTGAACATGCTTGCTAGAGAATAAACCCCATTAAACATTTTTGAGCTAGCATACATACAATCATTTTTATGTTACATTTCAGAATAATTCCAAAGCTTTTTCACGTTCCTGATTTAGACCACCAGTTTTCCTATGAGACCTAGCTTAACTTTATAATGAGAACTCTAATTCCTTCCTAATGGCATTTTATTCTAAAGGGTATTCCAGAAAATTGATTTTAGTTGGCTTGTTTAAACAACTGGTCTTGTAGGTTGTGTGATTGTCTCAATTTCCCTCCCTCCTTCCCTCCTTCTGTTCCTTTCCTTTCTTTTTTAATTTTCCCCCATTCTTTTCTCTGTAAGGAAACACCACTTGAAGAGGTGCCTGATAAAGTCCCCCTGACACAGGACACAATTAAGGATGACAAACAAGGTACAATATCAAACTACTGCCTCCTAATGAATTAGGTTTCAGGTGGTAATAGATATTTTATATAATTTCTGTCAGCAAAGGAAAATCAATTTTGTCTGAATCGGTTATCCAATAGCATCACTATGGAGTAGGGAAAAACAAATTATGAGAGTTCTCAAATGATACAGAATTGAAGAAAAACAGTTGTGAATCATAAACATTTGCCAAATACATAAGTTACAAGATTTTCAAATAACATTATTAAAAGATAATTACATTTACATTTCTTACAAGAGCAGCATCTCCTCTTATGTCAGTTTGAATATCTAGATGGGTCGAAGCTACATTCTTCTAGTAAAATGCAAGTGACCTTTATGTGTAATTTCTGTGTAATTTCAACTCATATAGATGGCTTGTAAAGATGTCACTGGAGAATAATGCCTGTTCTTCCCCCTACATGAGTTGCGTTTTTCTCCCCACAGTCCAGATTCAGCACCTGATGGCTAGATAACTTACAGGGAGAAATAGGTTATTGTTCTTCCCTGGAAAAAACATTAATCACATTAATTGCAGCCTTTTTTTAAATTAAAAAACCTACAAACCTACACCTGTTGATAGACTCTATAAGCTAGCTGGCATTGCCCCCCTCCCCAGATGTGTGATGGGAAGTTGCTGCCAACTGTGAGAGAAACAAGGTTGAACACTGTGAAAGCTATCCACTGCATAGTATCAGCGTCCTTCCAATATACCCAAATCAAGGAAGAGTTTCATGAGAACCACAACTCCTCTTAATGTTCCCCCAGCAACAACAAGAGTATCCCTCTAGGCAGCTAAACCAGGAAATCCCAACTGGATGGCCCCCGGGAGGGTCTTCCTCCAGGGACAAACCAAGAATGGGCAACTTGGAAGTTCCTGAACAAACTCAGAAACGGAGTGGGCAGATCAAAAGACAATCTGGCAAAATGGTACTACCTAGAAGAACCCTGTGAGACTGTGAAGCAGAACAAACAACTCCACATCTGTATGCTTGCCCACAATGCCCTGCATCATACACAGAGGAGTAATTATTTAAACCTACAGACAATGTGGTGGCTGTTGCCCATTTTTGTTCTAAAACTATTAAGCTGCTTGTGCTCCCTCTATTTTATAAGTTTTGTACTAATTTATTTATGCAATACTTTTGACACAAAATAAATTAGTTGCATATATAAATTTGAAAGATGAGCTATAAATGTATTTTGAAAAAATGAGTGTTTTACATATGCTTTATGCCACCTCTATTTGCCTTGTGATGTGTACCTCAGCCCTTGACATAATCCAAAGATAAGAAGAAAAGTTGTTCTCTGTAGAAATATCTAGGTCTTCCAGCATGACTGAAGGAAATTGGCCACAGAGTCACACTGGAGACAATATTTTTCATCAAATCCACAAACAATCAAGTCCACAAAGATAAAAACCAGATGTGGAGAGATGACTTTAGTATTTCACAGAATGTCTAACCACAGTTATAGTTGTAAATGTTGTTTCTGAACTGAATAATAATTATAAAATGACATTTCACAACTTGTTTTTATTAAGGTGTGAAAAGCAGCACATCTGCCCAAGCAGTACCAAAGGAGTTTAAAGTTTCTCAACATATGGCCGTCAAGACAGGTATGGAAATATTCAGTTAAACAAACACATTGTTCTTTGCTCATGTAGATGCTCTAAATCAAAGACTACTTCCTACTGGTCCTTGCTTTAAAGAAGCCTCCTTTAATTTTCACATACTCATCCATATATGATATATATATTGCAACATCTTAATTAAAAGAAAATCCCAGAGTGATAACTGTTGTGAAAGAAAGAAGAGTCCTGTGATGCCTTAAAGACTAACTTATTGATTATGGAGTCAATTTTTGAGGGTTATGCTCCAATAATGAATGGGACTGTAGCTCATGAAAAATTATTCCACAATAGATTGGTTAGTTTATAGAGTGTTATGTGAGTCTTTCTTGTTTTTGTTTAAAGTAAGGACAGCTGAAGCAGAAATATGTTTTCTTTAAGAATGTGCAAACTACAGATACCAAAATAAATTATTCCATCTAAAACTTTTAAAAAGATTCCTCCAAAAATGTGATAATCCAAAAACAGACCTAGCAAAATTAGGTCACCCAGAGCCTGCTGTTGCTGCTGAAGTTCTTTTTCCCACATAAGAGGATTGTCATTAATGAATTAATACATCCTGTCCTCCTTCTGCAAAAAGTCCTCTGAAGAGTTAGTACCACATGATCTGAACTGATGAGCAATTCCATAATCTCTCCTGTTCTTACTAAGCTTTATTGATTACCACTTTCATCTGGTACAGTGTTGCCTTATTAGAGCTGAGATACCCATGTAGAAAAATGCATCATTTAAGATGGCAAGTGGAGGTTTGCATGCTTGACTATTCCTATATCTAAAAATAAAAACACCATGTCAAAATGGCTAGTAAATGAGGAAGAAATCTTGTGTCAGTTGTGCTGATGTGGTGGAACGTTTGAATAGCTGATAGACAATTAACTTTGACTATTGCTATGTTAAAAAGTTATAGCAGATTAGTTGTAAATCCTTTTAGTGATGTATCACATTTGTACCAGTGTAAATCACTTTTTGATGCCTTCATTAGACTAAAGAAGAATGTCTATACCTTTATAATTTGGTGCCAATAATAGCTATTTATTGCTAGGTATATGGGGAGTTCCTTTATATTTTATTTGAGATCTCTTTTTTATTCTTTTTATTTTGGCTATCAAAAGGCACCATCCATATTATTTGGTGATTCCAAAATCCCAGTATTGTAAATAATATTTTCTACATTGACCCTATACCTTGTATCGAGTCAGAAGTTGCTTCTGGATGTCCTTACACCACCCAGGCACCTCCAGTCTGTAACATGGGGTAAAAGGAGGTAACTTCATTTTCCCTATGTTACAAGAAGTCAGGAAATGTTGTGGAGTTTCAGTGAAACTCCAGAGTAGCCCCACAGTGGACAGTTAGTGTGGACTATAGCACAGGGGGAAAGGGTTGGATCAAGGTCATGTCATCTCAACAGACTGCCACTGATGCCAGATACCTTTTCTGACATCAGAGAAAACAAGGGGGCAATGGCAACAAGCCCATCCAAGGTAATGTGGCCATCCAGCAAGGCTGAAGCAGTCTTGGCCCAGCCGGGTGGTCTGGATTTTGTCCTATCACCACTATGGGACAGAGATAGGCCAGTCCAGAGTATTGCTACTTCAGACCAACCTCAGTTTAAGTAGCTTATGTAGATCAGCCTTGAATCCTACACCTAGATGTTACCCTCAACTTGAGTAGACCCACTGAATCAACTGAAACTTGGCAAGTCAACACTTACATACATTCCATTGGTTGGATTAGTATAATTGGAATTAAAATTGTGATTTAGACCTGCTCTCAGTGTAATACATTTTATTGTATATAGGATTGGACTGTGTACGTGTTAGAGCTAGAAATGCCTAGATGCATCCAACCTCTTTTCATGTAGGACTAAATTACTAAAATACTTCTGAGAGATGTATGTTTACTCTGTTGAGAGACCTCCAAAGAGGGAGGACCCATCACCTTCCCGGGTAATACTTTCCACTAGCAGTTTGTGAAATTAAAAGTTTTTCCTAATGTTTTGATAGAATCTAAAGATGGAATCTTTTCTTGTAATTTGAATCCCTTGGTTTGCGTTCTTATCTCTGGGGCTGCAGAAAATAAGCTCACTCTTTCTTCTTCATAATATGACATATTTACTGAGAATTATCTTGATAGATTAGTGGTAATGGCAAGAGGACTGATTTCATATGTTCTTAATAAATGATCTTGTGTTGTAGTTGCTCAGGAATCAAACACAATGAAAGCAAGACCACGGTCCAGGTAAGTAAGATTGAGAGGTTTTCACTTCTAAGCAGAGTTCACCTGATCTTGATGGCTACCACCCTCATACTCTTCTTTGAGCAATTTGCTCTCTTTTTACTTTATGCGTTTAAATATACCACATATAAAATCTAGCACACCTTCATTACAGAAAAAAAAACATAATCAAAATATATTATGGAAGCTCACTTGCTACAGATCATGAACCAGCTGTCCATTCAAGGTAGGATGAGAATCTTAAGGAGAATACTAAACAACAGATAGTGTTGGTCATAGTAGTAGGCAGGATATAAAAGTAAATTTGTTTTATTAAATGAGAAGTATTGTTGAAGGGACTAGAGACATGAATAGTATTGCTGGGCTTTGAAAATAACAATAAGGAATAGTTGAGGACCATTCTGAGGACCAAGATTTGTTGGAAATTCCCAATGTCAAGACCTTGCATCTAACAGCAACCAGACGCAGAGCCRTCTGGCAGTGGCACCATCACTCTGGAATACTCTGCCACCTGAAGTCCGTGCCTTGCAGGACTTATCAGCTTTCCGCAGGGCATGTAAGATTTTTGATATTGCTGTTTTTAAATTGTTTTWAATTGTTTTTAAATTGTGTTAGATTTTAGCCTGTTCTTGTAAGCCGCTCCAAGTCYCAGGGGAGTGGCGGCATATAAGTTTGAATAATAAATAAATAAATAAATAAATAAATAAATAAATAAATAAATGTTAGACAGGGTTSACTGTCGGGAAGTAGTTACTAAGACGTTTGAGTTCTAAGCAAATGGCAAATAAAAATATTGATTTTAGTTAAGTTATCTGTGTATTTTCATTAATATACTGCCTACATTTATAYATTACATGATGAACACATGTCTGACTTCATGAAGCGCCCACATCCCAGATATGGGATTTGTTGGCATCTCATTTTGTCTGTTTAAAAGGAAAAGTTTTCCAACCCTGAAACCCTGAGTTCTTACAAGGGCATTGATTTCCAACCTTCAAATAAGAAAACTCCCTTATAATAGTGAGGGACACCTGGGAGATCTAGGCATGAAGAATTGTCAAAAAATTTCTTGAAGACAAAGGCTGTCTCACTACATCAAAACACCTTGCTAAAATTCCCAGTTTCCTGCACAAAGCAGAGACAACATTTTTCATTTTTCCAAAATGCATGCCCATACCCAGCACAGAAAAAATAGGAGACTGATGAAAAAGACTTGGAAAAGGTGGCGGGGGACAGACTAGTTATTGTAGTTTTGTGCTATTGTACTAAAGAAAGCTTTCTTACCACCCTGCAGATAAAGAGAAAAACTATGTGGCAAAACAAGGAGTCACATCCCTTCCCTTCGGAAATTCATTATTCAATATAAACATAATGGTGGGATCCAATTGCTAAAGCTAATTGGAGTTCATCCATTCATCCAGTATGAATATGGAATGTCAAAACTTTCATTGATTCAGTGACTCTACCGTAATTGGATCTAGAACAGTGGTTCCCAACCTTTTTTTTGACCAGGGACCACTCTCCAACATTAGTACCAAAAGGGTTACAAATCAGTTTTTGTTCAACTTTTGGTTCACTGGGGCTCAGCATGTGAAGATAGTGCCCTTTGCAAACAGACAGCCTGGACATGTGTTGTTTTCAAATGTACTGAACAATTGCTGTGTTAAAGACCTCTGGTGCTTGTTTACAACAACCTTTGCAGTATGCATAAAAACACCAGCAGCATTTCTCCTTTTAATATTGTCTTCTTTTCTCCAAGGTCTTACTCTAGCACATCTATTGAGGATGCCGTGAAAAAAGGGGGAGAGCCGCCAACTCCCCCACCAAGGCCACAGAAATCACATTCCAGAGCATCCTCCTTAGATCTAAATAAAATCTTCCAGCAAAATACCCAAGGTAAAGTTGCATATCCTGTCTTCCTTCTAAGCCAGGGGTCCTCAAACTTTTTAAACCGGGGGCCAGTTCACTGTCCCTCAGACCGTTGAAGGGTCAGACTATAGTTTTTTAAAAAAAAAATCAATTAAAAATTCCTATGCACATTGCACATATCTTATTTTGCTGTGTGGAAGGGCCCTTAGAGGGGGTTCTTTCTAGCCCTCTTTAGGCAGTAATTCCAGGAGCAGAGAATGGGGAATCTTCCTATTTCTAGTCTGAACAAAATCTGGCTACCAGTATTTAAAAAAACTCTAAAATTATAACTGTAAATAAAGAACAACATTCAAACACAGGAACTCCAGACAAGAAACAATGAGGGCCAGCTAATCACCTCTCAACAAAGGATTCTCCCTAAAAATTGTCAGGCTATGAAATGGTAATCAAGGTGGCCAATTGAAACATTCATACCTACCTCCAACAGACAAGAGTTCTTTCTCCCACCCTGGATCTTCCACAATTTTCCTAGTTAAAGGTTTTCCTTTGACATGAAGTCCAGTCGTGTCTGACTCTGGGGTGTGGTGCTCATCTGCATTTCTAAGTCGAAGAGCCGGCGTTGTTTGTAGACACCTCCAAGGTCATGTGGCCGGCATGACTGCATGGAGCGCCGGGGCAGCCTCCCTTGGCTGGCTCATGCTGCCCATCGGGCCTGACGGATAGCGTGAGCCAGCCAAGGGAGGGGCACTGTGTGGGTGGGGGTGCTCCTCCTCCGCGGGCCGGATAAGTGCCCTTGGCGGGCCGGAAGTGGCCTGCGGGCCATAGTTTGAGGACCCCTGTTCTAAGCATTCAGAGTAGTTTAGAACTCTCTTGCATGAGGCTGAGATGATAACTTGCTCAGTTGTCTGTTTTAACTTATTCATACATCAAGAAAACTCAGCCATCTGTCCATTCTTACCAGAATAGTTATGATATTGAGCACTTTGAGGTACCAAAGATTATAAAACAGTGGTTCTCAACCTGTGGATTCCCAGATGTTTTGGCCTTCAACTCCCAGAAATCCTAACAGCTGGTAAACTGACTGAGATTTTGGGGAGTTGGTAAGACAAAACATCTGGGGACTCACAGGTTGAGAACGACTGGTATAAAAGAACCTGCAAAGTATTTCGTTGTCCAGTTGGTGCCAGAGCCAATATAGAATAAAGCACCTTAACATATAGCACACACAGTATTCCACTGTCCTTTTATCACAGATCATGTGTGCCAGTTCAGAAGCACAGGGAATAGCTTGAGGATCAACTCTTGCATCTTACAGAAATAACTTTAAGGCATGTTTGAACTGATGGAAGGAGTGCATATTGAATTCCTAATCACATATGCATCATCTATTAAAGAGTGTAAGCCAAAAGATTTACCTCAAACTTGAAAGAACCATGTCTCCTTGTCTCATATATTCAGAAACTAGGGTTCTTGATCTATATGGAAAACGTAGGCATGGCCATCTACATATGCATCCATCTATCTTCATAAGTCTGTATAGTGGAAAGTGGTACACTATGGCATGTTTTGTATCATGATGTGGTGAAGAAGAAGCAATGATGATCAGATTCCTCCATGCTGCCTTCTGTGCTTCTGCTTTGCATACCAAAAGGGAAAGCTTCCTAGCTCTAGCGCTACTTCCACCTGACCCGTTCTGCAGGGCTGCTTCTGCTGTAAACTGTGCGAGCCGCTGTTTCATTTCTTGAAAAGAAGAGCTGGTGCGTGCCAGCAATTTGCCTCATGCAGCATTTCTCTGCTAGGTCCCCTTTACTCATGCTGTTTTTAATAGGCTGATCAGTATATTAAATTAAGAAAGGTAGCAACTCAGACTAGTCTTTCAGGTTTTAAATGGTTTGATAAAAGCAGCAATACTCACAGTATATTTGTAAGTATACCATAGCACTGTACCTTATGGTTATTTTTTAAAAAAAGACTCTTTTTAAAATAGAGTGGTGAAAGAAGAGACCTTTAGGGAAACCTAAAAGAAGAACTTGACCCTCAACTCTTCCTGTCATGGCTCATTTCTGGCCTTTTTGAAGGTCTAAATAGGAAAATGACAATGATAGTGGCCACTGATGGCTGGTTCATGAAGAGGCACAGGTACTTTCTCCTCTCCATGGAGTGGCTCTCGATGTAACCACAGGTCATATCAAAATCCATAATTGTGCCCCCAAAAAATGTCCTCCATTTATACACAAGTTATACATAATTCTACATCTACATAAGTTGACGTACACGAGTATATATGGTAAAATACAAGATGCTAACCTGCATCAGTTATGGATGCTCAGCTCCAATAAGGTTTCTTGCATTGTCCTTAGGAAATAATTGCAAAGGGCAAGAGAAAGTGAATACATACTGGACTCCATTTCACTCCTGTCTTTGTTGCAGTCTTAAGCCCTAGAATGCAAACATGCATTCAGTACATTGTTGTTGCTGGAAGCTGTTATGCTAAAAATTGAATAAATGATCCAGGTGAGTTCTTATATCTCACAGAAGATCACACAGAATGGGCTTAAGACTTCAGAGAAGAAAAGTAGAATTCCATAATCCAGTAATGGCACTCCCTCCACTCCTGAGTATTACTTTGGAGTTCTGATAAAACCATATAAATGAACTGCTGGAAGTATGAAAATCTATACACATAATAAAAGTGAAAATGGGTGTATATGGCGGAGGTGTCCACTTACACAGACAAGCTCCCACCTCCACAAACAGGCTATAGTTCCAAGTGCTGAGAAGCCTCCAAAGGCCCTTCCTCCACTGCCATGGCAGGTTAGAGCAAATTCCATGAACATGTAGCCAATGTCCTCCCCAAACACCATACTGCCCACTACCCAAGGAATGCTTTCATTAGGAGAGAATTTCATCCTAGATTTGACATGTATCATCCACCACAGGCAGGCATCTCAGGGTTCCTTGTGTAGAATTTGCATGACCCCAAACTAGTAGTAAATAAAATCTAGGCATTCAGCTGCTTGTTCTCATCACCACCTACCACCTCTCTTTTTAAATTCAGAGATATTATCCATTGAGCACACATATTTACATGAGAGAGTAACTGAATATGCACTCAGGGATTTCCCTTACAATAAGAAAGGAAAATGAGACAAAGGCCCGACCTGGAAAATGTAAATAGGAGGGCTAAATGTGCTGGTCTGTCTGGTTTGCTTTATAAGAGAGGGCTACTGATGCAAGATAGTCCCCAGCCCCAACAAGATTTGTACAACTCCTGAATAAACAGGGCAGTGTATTCCTGCCTCTTGTTGTCTTTAAATGCTATCATAAGCCAGATATTTGGAGCCAAATACCTGAAAAATGATTTCATATTCTAATACAGTAAATGAAACCAGAACTTAATGTGGAATGGCTAGATCTTCATTACCGAAAAGTCCAGATAACAAAAAAGCAAGACAAGGAAATTCCTGGGTAGAATTTACCTATAGAAACATTTTCACAATGCATTATTACAAACCAGTTGTTCAGAAATTCTAATATAGTTTATAATTTAGGCCTTATTTTAAAACGCTGCCTCTGTACTCAAGTTACTATTTCTTTTAGTATAAGAATTTGATGTTCTACAGGAGAACAGACAAAATTAAGATGAGCAAATATGAAGGTGTTCATACTCATATTAAAATTAGAATACAGAAAATAATAATGGATTTATTGGCATACTATGCAATTTTTTGTGGAGCACTAAAATAAACTGTTAATTACAGAGTATCATGTTTAATGTAAGATGAAAGGGAAAGACCGGCTTCAGCCTGGTGTTGATATTTAATTGCTGCTTCCTAAAAGCAGCTTAAGGCATTTTATCTCCTTTGCTCTTTCCAATTTGATGGTTTTACATAATGCCATTTGGACCGAAGAAAGATGACATACAGTTTTCTGAGATTTTAGAGGCAACTGCATAAGAAAACAGCTGGGTGAAGATGCATACAAATGTAGTATCCATTTCCAGAGGTTTCCTACACTTCCAGAAAATGTCCATCTGCATCCACAGGAATAATGGGCATGTTCCTTCCCTTAGAAACAGAAATACTTAGTACACTTGTTGCAGTATATCATGCACTTTAAATCACAGAATTACATAGTTGTGCTTCCCATTTGTATGTCAGAAGCAGAAAAAATATTTCCAAACAAGAAAGGTTTGTGTATTTTTTGTTTATTTTCCACAGCTAAAAATTCCAAAGTTGGAACTACTGTAATAAACATTTTGTATTTTTTTTATTCTAAAATGTACATAATACATCCTGCTTCTGTCTTTACAGTGACAAATTCACCACAATTCTGTACTGTCTGCCTTTGTCTCCTCTTTACAGCATTTTATATACATACACACAGAATTAGAATAATGTTGTCCTCCTTTTGCAGAGTTTCTGCTGATACTTTGCTGGAAGAGCTTTGACTATGCCTGAGAATAGTGCTCACATAAGCGTGACTACTTTCAAACAGGTCAAAGATATTCTGAAACAGCGGGATTTTATGAATATTTCATGAATAGCTTAAGTTTAGAATTTTAGGATTAAGAAAGCAGGAAAGTGGGTCAGATATGCCTGGTCTGAGCAATTTGCTAGCCTAAAATGCTGAATTCTTAGATACAACATATTTTTTTTCAGAGCCAAACAAATTGTAGTGTTTATTTATTTATTTATCCTGTTGGGAACAAAGCCATTTGTAAGAGGAAATGTTCTCAAACAGTACAATCTGTAATGCTGGCAGTACTTGGGAGATAACTGCATGTGAAATCAGGACAAGTTCCAGCTCATTTGTCCTTTTTAATATAGTACACCCTTGTTTGAGGGAGCAGAGGTCAAACCTACCACAAATATGAAGGTTCATGGGTTTCTCAACAACAAGCCATGCCAAACTAATGTGATCTCTCTCAATGCAGGAAATGCTATGGATGTAGCATATCTTGATTTTAGTAATCCCTCCAGTAAAGTCCTCCATGATATTCTTGCAAACAAACTAGTAAAATGTATGTTATTTTGAGTTGATTTCTAATTGGGTGATTGGCCAAACTCAAAAGATGCTTGCCAATGGCTGCTCTTCATTTTTGAGAGAAGTGACTAGCGAGATGAAACAGATTCCAGTGCTGGGCCCAGCGCTATTCAACATCTTTATCAATATTGCAGATGACATCCAATTAGAATAAGTAGATGACAGGATCAGACTTCATAATGACCTTAAAAGATGTGATTGCTGGGCCAAAACTAACAAAATGAATGTTTATAGATATTTTCCATGTAAATAAGCATTTTGGTCAAGGGGTGATGGTATGTTTCCTAGGGTTTGAAAAGCCACTTTCCTTGTAGCTGACAGAAACTGCCTACTGGCAAAGCAACACTACGTAAGTTTCACCCTTTGACACTAACGGAGCAACACTGTCTCCAGTATCATTTTGTGAATCCTCACTGCCTGATTTTAAATGGTCTCTCATCGACTATCATGGATATTTTTGTTATTTAAATTATTTAATGGAGACTTTAGACATTAGTTGACATAAACATACATAAACGGTTAAACTTCCTCTCACAGAATTGGACATGGTGTTCAATTCTGGGCTTCAAATTTAAAAGAGATATTGACAAGCTGGAAGGTGTACAGAGGAGAACAACCAAAATAATCAAAGGTTTGGAGACTATGGTATATTTAGCCTGCAGAAGAGAAGGTTGAGAGGAGACATGATAGCCATGTATAAACATGTGAAAGGATATCATAAGAAAGAGGGAGAAGGCTTGTTTTCTGCTGCTCCGGAAACTAGAATTCGGAGCAATGGATTCAAAGTACAGGAAAGGAGATTCCACCTGAACACTAGTAAGAACTTCCTGACTGTAGGAATTACTCAGCAGTGGGACTCTCTGTCTTTAAGTTTGGTGGAAGCTTCTTCATTGAAGGCTTTTAAACAGTCTAGATGGAAATCTGTCAGAGGTACTTTGTTCTTTGTGCTTTTGGACTAGATGGCCCATGTGGCTTCTTCCAACTCTATGATTTTATGAGAAATGTAGTATATCCACTCCCTTCAAAAGCTCCAGTTGGTTTACAAATCTGATGCAATCTTGTTTAAAGCTTGATTTCTCTCTTCCATGTATGCGCACCAGCCAGGGGCCAGAAAAGCTTTACATGGAAGGCGTAAAAATGGCATCAAAGAACCAGTTAAACCATCCTTATTACAGCTGTGTCATCCATTTGGGGAAAAAATGTCTGCAGTATTTCACTGCAGTAAACACTGTTTATAGGAGCTTTTTAATGTCTATGGCCACCTAATAAACTTAGCTCTAATTATTATGATTATCCGAGACACTGCTAGTGTGGCTTTAAATATAACTATGGGTCGTGTTAGATATGACACTGGTCACACAACTAGTGTGAATAATGTCAGATTTTGAAAGTGAAATAGCACATGCAACAAGCCTTACCCCAACTGGGACCTTATTGAGGAGTGAGCACATACATACTCCTTTGTTAGCTCTCTTTGATCTAGAACTCATTTTCTGCACACCTGATATTTGCATTGGATGAAACATTTCCAATTGGCAAATAGCAGAAGTGGAACCCATTCAGAGCTTCAGTGAGGCATAGAATACTGTATTAAAACCTTTTCCCTTCCTCTAAACCAGCTATCCACATCTTGTTTACTGTATAAAAGCAATTGCCAGTTGCCTTAATCTCTTCAAGTCTAGTTTCACTGTCTGAAGCAAGCTCTGCAAAAATACCCTTTTCATATAATGGAAACTATACAAGATTTAGTATAGGTGAAATTACCCAATATGAATATTTACCAAGTATCAACTAAAATATTCCACATTTCTTCAGTAAAATTTGAAATACCGTCAGCTTTCCATATCTGCAGGGGATTGGTTCCAGGACTCTCTGCAGATACCGCTATCAATGGATGATCCAGTTCCTCATATAAATTGGCAGACTATGTACTGTATTTGCAGAAAACTACACACCCTCCTGTACTAGATTAAGTACCTAATGCAGTGTTCTGTATTGTTTTGAGCTCAGAAGGATCGTCTAAAGAGATGTACAGCTGGAGAGAGATTGGGGATCTGTGAGATGCTGGAAGAGGTGGATTCGTTCCAAGCCCTGCGCTGGATTCATGCCATTGCACGAATATTCAGTCTCCCGCAAACCTCAGATCTAATTTGTTCACTGCTTGTATTGCGTATTTTCAGTCTGTGACTGGTTGCATCCATAGATCTGGAGGACTGACTGAACATTTCATCTCTAAGTCTATAGCTGAGGAAAAGCTTTTAGCTGTGATTTTTGTAAGTTACAATAGAAGCCAAAGAATATTATGAAGAGATGGGATCAAGATCTTGATCTTATAAGTTTTCTTGCCTCTCAGCATTAGCCACACTGGCTAGGGATGCTTCCACACTAGACTTAAATGCGTTCTGAAGCAGGTTAAAAAACCCCACTTTAGAATGTGTTTAAGTCCCCCCACACACCCCAAAAACCAAGGCTTTCCCATGGGGGTGTCTACATGCCATCCCAGTAACTACCAGGATGGCATACAGCCACCTCAAAGCTCCCCAAAACAACACCTAAAAATTTAAAAAAACTTACCTGCTGCCGTTATTATCCTCCTCATTCTCTCCTAGCATGAGGAAACAATGTGCCAGTAGACCGGGGGTCCTGGCACATCATTTCCTCGCACCAGGAGAGCACAAGGAGGAAGATAATGGCACCCAGTAAGTTTTAAAAACGTTTAAGGGTTTGTTCTGTGGGAGAGGGAAGTGCCCTCTTGTTGTTTTGGGCTCATGGAGACCGAAAAACAGAGACAGCTGTGTGGATTGGGCCCAGAGATTGCATGATGCTGCCCCTGGGTCCAATCCACACAAAGCCCACACAGAGCAGCGTCATTTGGACACATCTGGTAAAACTGAGATGGGCCTCAGTTTAAGGGCATGTCTGAATAGACACTAAGCCTGATAGGTATTGCAAACCAACATAAGAAAGCCCACTTTTTCCCACTCCTATTTTAGAAAAATAGTTAGTTGTGATAAGAATTCTAGTACCGCAATATGTACTTTTTCTTTTTTCTGATAACTGTGATGTAACTGCTTATTTTATTGATACAATTGCCTAAATTCTAATAGTTCCTTGGCACATGGTTGTGTGGGAGATGAGATGGTTATTAGGCAAGTACAAAACTGTGAGTGCACTTTGTTCTGCCTTCCCCCCCCCCCCCATGTGCTCTGGATGCTATTCAGTATTTTACCCATAAATTTTAAACTCATAAATCTCTGTTATTCTGGTATATTTTGTAAACATCTCTATGCAGAAATGTTTAAAAATAAAAACATGGTTTGTTTTTAAGGCTTCATGCACTCTAATAAATGCATGTGCAATAAGATTTATAGAACACATTTACCCGTTTCGCATTCCCATGGCGTGACTTCATTGCTCAAATTTAAACAGTCAAATAGCAAACAGAAAGGGGGTTGCTAAGGATCTTTTTTGCATGTTTTTGCCAAAAAGGATCTGTAGTTATATGGGGCTTCTATGAGGTTAACTATCAAGAGATTCCTCAGTCATGCTTCATATGTACATGTAATCTATGTGGCATTATAATGGCTTCACAAAGCCTCCTCTTCTTGCAGTTTTGGCCTCTAAGGATTTACAGATTTAACTGGATCCAGATTGGGAAGTATAATAGATGGTCCCATCATGGGTGTTAGCATCTCAGATTGCTGGCTCAGAACAGAAAACTGAATTCTATTGAGTTACCATAAAGGCCTAAACTGACTGTTATTCGGTCTCTTCCCTCTTCAACTCCTGCCAAAAATATTTAAAAGCTACAACTAGCCCCTCCAGTTGCTAGGACATCTAATTCCAGATGTTCTTTTTACAACTGTACTTTTTCATACCATCCCATTTTATTTCAGATCCTTTTTTAACATCCACATTGGAATATTTTTCAATTAAAAAAAAACGACTGTAGTGTTGGTAACAAAGAACAGCAAGCTCAAGGGTTGCTTGGCTTCTATGTACAGCATTCCTTTATTTCATTGTAATTTGTTGAACTGAACCAGCCTTACTTATCTTTATTACACTTTTACTGCACTTTAGCAGACAGGGACAGAGTGGGCAACTGTGATACTTAGGATGCTTTGGGATTCACTCCCATATTGTTGGTTGTGTTGTCTAAGATATGCTGGGGAGCTGTAGGCTAAAATATCTGAAAGCCCACATTTCTCTAATAATAATAATAATAATAATAATAATAATAATAATAATCTTTATTTATACCCCGCCACCATCTCACCCAATGGGGAATCGGGGTGGCTTACACGAGGCCAAGCCCAAACAGCAAATTACACTGAAATAAAATACAATAAAATAAAAACCAAAATGCAAATAACAACATAAGCAGTATACACAAAACATAAGAATGCAACGAACAATCATAATGACAATGAGCAGGCCGCATGTACAATAAAATGATTAAAAACTCAGGGTGAGATAAGAGGAGCCGATTATTTGTAAGGGAGAACTCATAGAGAAGCGGAAACAAGAAACCCCAGAAACAAATGGCTGTGATAGTTTATTTAGTTTCAGGTTACCCTCACATTTTTTTTAATTTCTCCCTCTTTATTCTTTTGTTTCAGCACTTAGAGCAGGTTGGCTACCACCACCACCACCTGCTTTACCCCCAAGACCTTTTGCCTCACAGGTATGTATACAACTTCAACACGAGAGCTTTGTGCCTCTTTTATAAGCAGAAGGCACTAGGAATGTTTCTGGGTAGCCAAGAAGTAATCTGTCTTGACCCAGCAATGTCTTCATATTAGAGTTCTTTTAAAAAGGTGTTAAGAAGATCAAATATTTCATGTGATGAGTACCTGATAACAAAGAGTATTCCAATTCAGAGATGGAATCAAGAGGTCAAATATTAAATTAATTTAACCAAAATGAATAATTCTGCCATGTAAATGGGGGTGCGGTTGGTGCAGATTATGTAAGACAAAGGCATTATCTTAAGCAGATTCTATGCTGCAATTTTCCATATAATTGGAGTAAGCGGTCTATCCAAACAAGTGTGAGTGTCTCATCTGTCTCTGTCCCCCTTTCACTGCCCCTCAGACTTTGTTCTTTTTTTTGACATAGACTTGGTCATTTAGACAGTCAACCCATGGAAATAATTGGAACTTAAATTAGTCATTATTTAAACACTTTTTATTTTAGTGGCTTTGTTCTGACTATTAAGAGTCAGTATGGTGACCTTGGATAAATTACTCTTTGTTAGTTTTAAGATAAAGGCAGTGGCAAACCTCTGAATAAACCTTGCCAAGAAAGCTCTGTGTTAGGGTCTCCACAAATTATAATCAACTTGAAGGCACATAACAAGAATACATTTGACTATGCCGATCTTCTCTGATAATCCATATGCTGTTATTTATTTTATTATTATGCAATACTATGCATGTTAGCAATTTGTCCTCCATTTAGTAATGTTTACTATTTTGTAATTGTGATTAGGATTGCAGCCTTAACCTATTTCTGTTCAAATCAGATGGCTGATGTTACAGTGCTATCAATAGGAAACATTAACACCCAATTAAGAACAATTTCAACCATTATTTGCAAGGAAAAGGGGACAGCTCATAGCTGCTGAGTTAATGAGTATTGGTGCATCTACACTGTAGAATTAATGCACTTTGACTCCACTTTCACTGCCATGGCTCATTGCTATGGAATCACGGGAGTTGTAGTTTTACAAGATGTTGAGCCTTCTCTGTCAAAGAGTTCTGGGGCTTCAACAAACTACAGTCCCTAGGATTCCATGGGATTTATCCTTGGCAGTTAAAGTGGCATCAAACTGCATTAGTTCTACAGTGTAGATGAACTCTATCACTTCCAAAGTTGCAACATAACATATGCGAAGAAGAGCTAGAGTGTATAGTTGGATAACAAGTGGGGAACAGCAACGAAGCTAGGACTTGAATTCAGACTCAGGAAAGCTGTGAAATTTCACACTGCGCATTCAAAGTCCCGTTCAGAATGTCTCTGCTTTTGGAGCTATTGTTCATTCTCTATTTGAAAATAATGTCCAAACAATGCTTATTAGGAAGATTTACTATGCACTGAATTAACTTTCCCGAGGTCAAAGATTATTTTGGATGCCTTATTTCCTGGCCCAACATTTAGATCATTTAGCAAGTCTTGTTGGCATGGGGTTAGGGGGTTGTTCAGAAGAACCCATTCTCCTGCGTAATTATCCTAGATACTTACTGTACATATGAGTCTTGAATTTTTAGTAGGAAAAGCAACCCCCCCAAAAAACGGGGGTGACTTATCCACAGATTTCTCTAAGTAAGTACTTTACCTTCATACTTTACCCCCCAAAAAAGAGGCATTTCCTCATCTGAAAAACAACAATGTCTTTGAATGTCAGAGGAAATGGCGGTGGAGGTGGCCCTGGGTGGCTGGTCTCCTGAATGGTTGCTGGTTCTTTTCCCTCTCTGCCGAATAACCCTCAACAAATCCACAGGTCATATCAAAATCTACAATTTTGCTCCCTGACCTGCCCTTACACATGAAGTCAACTTATACATGATAATATACAGTAACCCCTGAGAACTCCATAGACCTTCATTTTTGGCTTTTACAAATATTCTTGTTCTTTCAGGCTTTCACTAAAAAAAAAACCCATTGTGGTATTTATTAAAGCTTTATGGCATAGTTTATTCTTAAAGTATGTGGATTCAAGGTTCCTTTTTGATTTAACATTAATCTGTAGCCATTTTATATTGTAAATGGTCTTATGGGGTCCCCAATCTTGAAAGGATTTACAAATTCAAATAAATAAATAAATAAATTCATTATGGGTACCATTCAGTATTTCAGGAATGCTAATTGTAACTTTGGAACTAAAATACTTGCTTGCAGAATATGTTGTGCCCCATGAAGACCCCCACCGTTTAACCCTAGTTAAGCCTCTTTTAGTTAGAGAGATTAATATTTTATCTACAGTTTCTGGGGGGTCAGACTAGACAGCCTCTTTGCATTTGAAGCCTCCATCTCCCTGTCCCTTTAAGAATCCCCTCAGGGACGAATCCTCAAGTAAGGCACTTCTGATTCTTGGAACAGTCAGCCTTTTCGTGATTGGAAGGTGAAGAGAGAGGAAAGTCGGAAGATCTAAAACAGCACATTCATTCGGAGCTGTATTCAAGTCCAGTCAGAGCTAAATAATGAGACCATCTTAGAGACAGTTGAACACCATACAAGAAAGAGACAATAAGAAGAAATAAAGATTCAAGAGCCTCAGATCGGTCAGAACTGTGTCTATCTCTCAAAGGCTTTACATCTCCTCATAAAGACTTTGTAGTGAGACTCAGGAGGAGAGAAAGTCTAAAATTCTTGTCAGTTAATAAATTCTTGTTTGATTCAACTATATAATTTCCAATCTGTTCCCTGCATAGATAGTTCACCTTCCAAGTAGTTAAGATAGCATGGGCTCAGAACAGAATACAAATAATTTTACTTATACAGCTTAAGACACATTGTGTGGATATTTTCAGAACACTCTCAAAGTCAGTATCAATCATACTACTTTCATATGGAGTTATACATTCAGAAAGTATTCCAGAAAGAGTTTGCTAACAATTTCACCTTTATATTTGCCTAACACACTCTTGTCTTGCTTAACTCATTTTGAGATCTAAAATCCAAGCATGAACTGCCCTAAGGTCACTAGTCTCCTTCACTGACTACTCTTTACTCTTCCACTGCGTCCTACATCTATGAAATTCATATTTTACCTTTCCTCCTCCACAAAGCATCTCTCTAATTCTTTTTAGTCTAAAAGTGTTTCATCTTGTGTACTATTTTGCCACAATCATTTATTATTCCATTTCCCCCCAAATTTGTATCATTTGAAATTTTTACTGCTTCATAGAGAAGAAAACCAGATTTATTCTCTGCTGGTTACAGGCATGTAGCCGGGGGGGGGCCTCGGGGGGCTTCAGCCCCCCCCCCCGAAATTCTCATGGTGGTTCACGAAAAGGCCTTACTGGTGCATTACTTAAACTGTTATGTTTATTCATATCATGATCTGATCACCATACTCAATATATCCCATATGCATGGGGGTATTGGGGTAATGATACAAAAGGTTTGCTAGGGTAGACCCTCTTTCACTCAGACTCAGCCCCCCCCCCAAACTCAGCCTCCCCAAAACCCCCCCTGAAAAAAATCCCCCCCCCCCCCCCGGAAACAAAATCCTGGCTACGGGCCTGGCTGGTTATATTAAAGTTCAGTCTTAATTTGGCATATTCTTTTCCCTTTCCATCTTTATTGTGGTCTCTTCTGATTAAAAGACATACAGAGATGGAATCTACTTTCATTCTACAGGTTTGTCACCCTAACACAAATGCAGAATCAAATGCTCAGCCCAAATCAAGCTACGTAGACTTCAGACTTCAAGAACAGGTACAATTTTAAATTATAAAATTATACTTTTATTTCTTGCTCACACAGCATTTCTTTGCTCAGACATTGGTCAGCAATAGGTTTCTTTATATGAACCCCCAAATGCTACCCCAAATTAATATGTAAACAAACCCTACTCTGAAATCCAAACAGCCTGACTAGCCAATCTTAACAACATGTTTACTGAGAAGGAAATGATACTGATTCCAGAAAGGTTTGTTTCCATAAAAATATGTATAGGATTACTGTCCAATGTTGTTTGGAAATGCAAACCTTGAGATAACAATTTGAAAGAAGATTAATTTGCTAGACCACAGCTTGCAGCTAGCAGAAAGATGACACTTTTCTAAGGCCTTGCCTGCTCACCTGGTCTGTACGAAGCCACAAACAAATGTAAGATATGAAAGGAACTTCTCTCTCCTATCAAGGAAGAAAGAGATGCTTATAGAAAGCAAGATACTCCTAGGGATGTACGATATAAGACTAGTATTTATCTACAGTTCTATTTATTTACATTTATATCCTAAAGGGCTAAAAAGAAGTACAAGATTAGTTAAAAAACTTGAATGAAAACCATCAATAACTGTTCAAAAGCACACATCTGATTAAAACTTCTGCAATTCTATGCAGAAGAGTGAGGTCCTGTGCTGTTCTTTATGCCATGGTGCAGGCATGTAGCCGGGGGGGGGGGGGGGGGGTGGGGCTTCAGCCCCCCTCTGAAATTCTCATGGTGGTTCGAGAAAAGGCCTTACTGGTGCATTATTTAAACTGTTATGTTTATTCATATCATGATCTGATCACCATACTCAATATATCCCATATGCATGGGGGTATTGGGGTAATGATACAAAAGGTTTGCTAGGGTAGACCCTCTTTCACTCAGACTCAGCCCCCCCCCGAAACCCCCCCTGAAAAAAACTCACCCCCCCCCCCCCGAATCGAAATCCTGGCTACGGGCCTGCCATGGTGTACAATAGTATAGAGTGGGGTTTCATTCATGCAAGCAGGGATCTCCTACTTTCTCCATTCACACCACTCCCTTCATTCCTCTGGGAAAGAGGCCACCCAACTTCCCAAAACAGATTTTGAGACTGCTGCAGAGGAGACATGGGGTGCATCCACATTCTAGAACAAATGTGGTTCGGCATCATTTTAAATGCACAAATACTATTTTCTCACTCTTTTCAGGTATTGTTTATCGTGTCAGAAATGAGAGTACTGTTGTAATGTATTTAAAAACAAAAACAAAGTAAAAAACTTGGCATTGTACGAAATGTCCTATGACCACTTGGAGTGCCTCTGGTGTTGCTATAAGAAGATCCTCCATTGTGCATGTGGCACACTTTTCAGGTGAAAGTGAGATAGAGGCAACTGTCCAACAGGTTTCTGAATGAGTTGGGTAAAGTCGAGGGATAATATTCTGTGTCAAACTGCATTTATCATTTCATTTTTTTAAATGTAAAAAATCTTGGTGCTAAATATTGTTCCATTTTCTCATCTTGTAGATAATTTGCTTTAAACCCATGAAAATATTATATATAGTACTTGGAGCTTGGAATTTTTAAGTTTGTGAGTTATATTACTTAATGGGGCCTTTGGTTGAAAGTGCCATGTAATACAAATAAAAGAGCTCTGCTTTCAGAATAAAGGAATAGTAGAAATTATTCTGGCATCACATATCATTATGATTTGGATGTCATTGGGGTCTCTGTACTGACTGATGAAAGAGAAATAGTCTTTTTAAAAAACTATTAATAGTTGCATAGAGCCAATACACTATATTTATATGCACAAGATAGTTGAGCAATGCATTTATTGCAAGTGTTTTAGTTTTGCCGAGACATTTGAAAGGCATTGGGGAATAGTTCTCTGTAATAGCACAGCATTCTTCCTTACCAAAACAGCTGTTGTGTCTACCATCAGTACATTTCATAGACGTTAGACCACTCTCTTAAATAGGACACTTCAGTGAGGCTTTTCCAGGAGTGGAGTGTTAATATTAGTCTCTTACAGTAAAAGTAACAAAAAAATCTTGGGACTCCTTATAAAAATATAATGGCCTAACCTTTATGAACTAGAAATTCCCAGAGTTCTTGATATTTTCCCTATTGTAGAAGAGGAGTCTCTTTGAATAATTTATAATAAATTTAGATTAAAGAGCATTCAGTTGTAAAAGTAGGTAATGTACTAACATCATGATATCTTGCTCCAAGTGGCCATGAATGCCATGGCCATGTAGCCTCTCTTCTAATAGAGGAAATACTAATAAAGATACAAGAGTGGCAATACATGTGTACAAAAGCCATAATACCAGATACCATCTAAGTATGCAGGTACTTGACCATCCTAAAGATCTTACAATCTAAAAGATTTACAAGTTTCATATGGTAATAAATGATAGTGTTATATCAGATGCTGAGCACTCCTGATCCCTCCCAGATGCAGAAGATTCAAAATGAACTGGTCCTTTATCAGACAATGAATTGAATGGCATATCCATGCTGGAAACCCCTGGAGCAAAGTCCACAGACATAGATCTAATGTTGGTGATTTGCTAGCTCAAGGGGCCAAAATGAGATTTATTTTTAATGTCAAAAGCATAGCATAAATAAGTATAAAACTGATAAAAAAAATAGAAGTACAAGTGGCTAAATAATTTTTTACCAATAACAAACAGCAACCACATTGTCTGTAGCCTTAAACAATTCTTCCCCTGTGCATGAGGCAGGGCGTGAGCAAGCATACAGATGCAGAGTTGTTTGTTCTGCTCCACAGTCATACAAAGTGGAGTATTCTTCAAGGTAGTGTCATTTTGCCAGGTTGTCTTACGATCTGCCCACTCCACTTCTGAGATCATCAAGTTTGCAGACGACACCAAATTGGGAGGGATAGCCAATGCTCCAGAGGACAGGAGCAGGATTCAAAACGATCTTGACAGATTAGAGAGATGGGCCAAAACTAACAAAATGAAGTTCAACAGGGACAAATGCAAGATACTCCACTTTGGCAGAAAAAACGAAATGCAAGGATACAGAATGGGGGACGATGCCTGGCTCGAGAGCAGTACGTGTGAAAAAGATCTTGGAGTCCTCGTGGACAACAAGTTAAACATGAGCCAACAATGTGATGTGGCGGCAAAAAAAGCCAATGGGATTTTGGCCTGCATCAATAGGAGCATAGTGTCTAGATCTAGGGAAGTAATGCTACCCCTCTATTCTGCTTTGGTTAGACCAAATCTGGAATATTGTGTCCAATTCTGGGCACCACAATTCAAGAGAGATATTGACAAGCTGGAATGTGTCCAGAGGAGGGCGACTAAAATGATCAAGGGTCTGGAGAACAAGCCCTATGAGGAGCGGCTTAAGGAGCTGGGCATGTTTAGCCTGAAGAAGAGAAGGCTGAGAGGAGATATGATAGCCATGTATAAATATGTGAGAGGAAGCCACAGGGAGGAGGGAGCAGCTTGTTTTCTGCTTCCCTGGAGACTAGGACACGGAACAATGGCTTCAAACTACAAGAGAGGAGATTCCATCTGAACATGAGGAAGAACTTCCTGACTGTGAGAGCCGTTCAGCAGTGGAACTCTCTGCCCCGGAGTGTGGTGGAGGCTCCTTCTTTGGAAGCTTTTAAACAGAGGCTGGATGGCCATCTGTCACGGGTGATTTGAATGCAATATTCCTGCTTCTTGGCAGGGGGTTGGACTGGATGGCCCATGAGGTCTCTTCCAACTCTTTGATTCTATGATTCTATGATTCTATGATTCTATGATTCTATGACTGTTCAGGGATTTCCAAGTTGCCTGTTCTTGGTTTGCCCCTGAAGGAAGATCCTCATGGAGGGCCATCCATTTGAGATTTCATGGTTTAGCTGCCCAGAGGGATACTCTTGCTGTTGCTGGGGGAATGTTAAGAGGAGTGGTGGTTCTCATGAAGCTTTCCCTTGATTTGAGTCTACTGGGAAGAGGCCGCCAGCCATGCCATTTTCTCGCCTGAGGGCTGAGAAAAGCAGTATATAAATAAAGTAAATAAAAGTAAATAAATAAATAAATGTTCTTGGGCAGGTTAGGTGTGGGTTATGTCTTGCTGGATCCTAACCTCCCTCTTTCCCCTGACATGAACCCAGACTTTATTTAAGCACTTTAGCCTAGCATAGCATTTTCCCCATCCCTTGGTTGGTTTCAATGGTAGTGATTCTTGAAAGGAAAAGAAAGAGAAAGAGAGATGCACAGGGGAAGATAGCTTCTCCATGTTCTGACTGCTTGCAGCTTTGGCCAGAGCTTGGAACAACTTTTTGAACTGTAAATCCAAGAATCTCTGGTTGGGATCCATAGTCCACCAAGTAATTTTTTCCAAGGTTGGCTACCTATGTTCCCGCTTGGTCTTTTTTGGATAAGTCTCGAATAATAATAAAATGTAAGGCATGCTGTTAATTATGCAACCAGGCTAATTACCCAAGTACTGTTTGTGTGGATTTATTTTTTAGATTGTTATGCCAACATTTTTTAAATAAAATAAAATAAAATAAATGCACAATAGTGTCATACAGCACATAGTAATGATCATGTTTTCTACTGGCCAGATAAGTAAGAACTTTCCTAAGGAATTCTGGAAAAAAAATACCTTTATTTTTTTTAAAAATGTAAGACTTCAAAAAGTGAGGACCCTATTAATATAGCTATAGAAGAAGTGTACATGTTATGCCTTCACTCCTACTTTAATCCAGTTTTGTGAAAGTAGAGTATAAAAGCAGATTGGTAGTATTTTCATCAAGGTCCTATTCATTACTTCTAAAAGCACTAAGCACTCTTGCCACTTATATATGTTAGTGCTTTCCTCCAAAACCTTACCACCGATTCTCAGATGGCTCTTTAGAAAACCAGAGAGAAAAAGTTTATCGAAATTTGAGGATTGCAGAGTGCTGCAAAAGCAGTCAGCCCAGCAAGATTTTGGCAGCTTGTTGCATTTACATCCCTGTAGGTTTTCTTTTGGTGCTATCACTTT